GAAGTTATAACAACACCTAATTCTAATGAGCAGTGGGGTGGGGGTGGGGGGCTAGAGTGGTTTGAGATGTGCTAATAAACCTTTGCCAACTTCATCAGAGTGTATCCTATTGATTTTAATGCAGCTGAAGCTGAAGGATGAGGCTTTGCTCAAGGAGATCCACATGGTGCAAGCCACGGTTGGCTTTGGGGATCCTTCCTTCTGATGTCTTCCAGATGGAGGTTCTTTAGTTTGACTCTATAAGGAAGAAATCTCCCTGAGCCCCTGAATCACCAAGGAGTCAGACAAGTTCTGGGGCTGAAGAACAAGACAGTCTGCTCTGGCAGCTGTTTAATGTTGAGCTCTGGTTTTTTTTGGTTTTATGTTTCTTCCTTTTGTTGTTGTTTGTTTAATGTTTCTTCTCTTTGTTTCTTTATTATTGTTACTCAATACGATTAATAAAAAACAAGCAAGAAAATATGAAGCTCACCTGGGTCACTGGTGAGGGGACAAAGAAGGTAACAGTGTTAGAACTGGGGGGATGAGGTAGGAGTAAGCACTACCAGAATTTCTGGGGGGAGAATGAGAGGCAGAGTAATTTAGTAGAGAGAGCACAAGACCAGGAGTCAGGATTGGGTTCTGATCCATATCCTGCTATTATTTATTAGCTGTGTAACTGGGAAAATTCTTTCATCACTCTAAAACTTTAGTGTCCTCATCTGCAAAATGAGTGGATTAGGCTCAAAAATGAGTCTAAGTTCTTCCAGGTCTTCTTTTCCCCCCAAGGCAATCAGGGTTAAGTGACTTGCCCAGGGTCACACCCAGCAAGTAAGTATTAAGTGTCTGAGGCTGGATTTGAACTCAGGTCCTCTTGACTCCAGGGCTGGTGCTCTATCCACTGCACCACCTAGCCGCCCCTTTCAGGTTCAAGATGCTATGACTGTATGGAATCTGTTAATACTGAGGAGTGGCAAAGCAAGGTAATGCCACTGGCCAGGTTTACTAATGGGAGAGTGTGACCTAAAGACATAATTTTCTAGTGAAGAAAGATTGGTCAGGATATTCCGTCCTTGTTTTGGAGGAAGAGGAAGTGGTTAATACAGGCAAATTCCACAGAGATCTCTACCTGAGGAACAGCAGAGAAGCACTAGAGCAGCTGATTCTTATTTTACCCAACAGGGTTCATGTGGAGTCCCCCCACTGAACAGGTAGTCCTAGGCCCTTAGAGCTAATCAGATACATGGTCCATTGCCTACCTTAATCATAGCACAGCAAAAAAGGGAAGTGTAAAGTGGACGCATAGCTAACACCCTACACCAGAGGCATCAAACACGCAGCCTGAATCTATATGTGCGCGCGTGTGTATATGTATGGGTATGTGTGTGTTTGTGCTCGAGAATGCACCACTCCAGGGCAGCTAGGTGGTGCAGAGGATAGAGCACCAGCCCTGAAGTCAGGAGGACCTGAGTTCAAATCGGGCCTCAGACCAAACACGACACTTACTAGCTGTGTGACCCTGGGCAAGTCACCTAACCCCAATTGCCTAAAAGCAAAAAAAAAAGAGAGAGAGAGAGAGAGAGAATGCACCACTCCCCAGTAGATTAATGGTCAAAGGACATAAATAAACTGTTTTCAAAAGAACTGCTAAGTATTCACTACCACGTGAAAAAATGTTCCAAATCACTAATAATAAGAGAATTGCAGGGGCAGCTAGGTGGTGCAGTGGATAGAACACTGACCCTGTAGTCTGGAGGACCTGAGTTCAAATCTGGCCTCAGACCAAACACTTGACACTTACTAGCTGTGTGACCCTGGGCAAGTCACTTAACCTCAATTGCCTAAAAAAAAAAAAAACCCAAACAAAACAAAACAAAACAGCCTGAGGTTTCATCTTACATCCTGCAAACTGGCAAAAATGACCAAAAAAAAAAAGTCAATAGTCAATGTTAGAGGGGTTGTGGAAAGACAGGCGCACTAATACATTGTTGGTGGAGATGTGAAATGGTACTATAAATAAAGTGACAAAAATAAATAAAGTGACTAAAATGTCTATAACCTTTGAACCAGAAACTCCATTACTAGACTTACATCCTAAGGAAGTTAGTCATCCATAAGTAAAAATCCCCATATGCTCCAAAATATTTATAGAAGCAGTTTTTTTGATCACTAAGAATTGGAAGCAAAGCAAATGTCCATCTATTGGGGAACGGCTAGACAAGTTATGATACATGAACGTAATGGACTATTACTCTGCTGTAAGAAATGATGTGTGTGATGAATGCAGAGAAGAATGGAGAGATGTGTACATGAACTGATGCAGAAAAAAGTAGGCAGAGCCAAGAAAACAATGTGAATGGAAAGAATGACAGACCAAAAAATCAAAAGTAAATTGTAACAAAATTATAAAGATCAAACAAGACTTGGAAAGAAGAGATACAAAAAGACACCCCCAATGTATCTCTTCATGGAGGTGGCAGGTCCACAGGTGTTATGCACCGCACAAGCTTTTGGACTTTTTCAATGCAATCAGTTGTGCTTTTTTTTTCCCCTTTTCTCTCAAAAAATTACAATAATAAAATACATTTGTCATATGAGAGGGCTCTTAAGAGGGGGGCTATGGTGACGTAAGAAACAGAAAATATCAATGAAAACTTATTTAAAAATATAAAGACCTTCACAATCTGGTTCCTGCCTACCTTTAAATTTTAAAAAAAATTTCTTTGATTAAATCTGTATTTCCCCATACTTGCTAAGCAAATTAAACAAAGAGAGGAGGCTTTTCAACTCACCAAAGCCAATCTGTCTACATGTACCTTTGATCTCTTTCCCCATGTCTTTTTCAGTGGATTCCTCTACAATCATTCCTCTATAATCTTCAATCTTTTTTCCTTGATACCTACAAACATGCCCAAGTCTCCTCGACCCTTAGGAAACCATTACTAGACCCATCTCCTCGAGGTAGCCTGCTATATCTGCCTCCTCTTTAAAGCCAAATTCCTCTTCTCTCACTTGGCAATCTCATCAGCTCTCAAAGGTTCAGTTTTTATCTGTGTGCAGCTTCCAGTCCAGGCTCCCAAGCTCCAGGCTCACATCACCAACTGCCTAATGGACATTTTGAACTGCATGTCTGGAGGCACCTCAGAGCCAGAGGACATCTTTCCCCCACATCTTCCCCTCTTCTGAACTTTCCTTTTTCTGTCCAGAGCATCGCCATCCTCCCTCCTAGTACCCAGGACTGTAACCGCAGTGTTGTTCTTAACTTCTCATTCTCAGTCTACTTATCCAATCAGTTGTGAAATCCCACCACTTCCATTTTCACATGTAGCATATACATCCTCTTCTGTCCACTCACATAGATAGCTCTCACCCTTGTTCAGGCTTCTTGCCTTGACTACAGCAACAGCCTTCAAATTGGTCTCCTTGCCTCATCTTCCCCCATGATAATCCATTCTTCACAAAGCTACTGAGCTGATTTTCCTAAAAAATAGGCTTTACCATATGACTTCTGCACTACTCAATAAATTCTAGTAGCTTACTACGTCCAGGTTCAAACAAAAATCTTTTGGCATTTTAAAGTTCTTCACAACCTGGTTCCTTCCTGCCTTTCCTATTTCTGACCTTTTATTCCCCCCTTTCCAATGATTGTCCCCTATTTTTTAAATGCTCTACTTCCTCACCCCCACCTCTTACAATCCCCTGGTTTCCTTCAAACCTTGACTTTTGTCCCACTTTCTATAGGCCTTGCCCAGTTCTCCTAACTGCTAGACCCTTCCCCTCTAAGGGTACGTCTGTGTACCCAGTTATTTAAATACTGTCTTCCTCACTAAAATGTAGGCTCCTTGGGAATGTTTTTTCCTTTCTTTGTATCTCCATCCCTTGGCAGTGTATGGGGTCAATAAACGCTTGCTGACTGATTACATGCCTTATCTTGACTTCCTCTTTCATCACTTGCTCAAGTCTCTTCCATATGGTTTCTAATCTCTTATTAAAAGCGGTTCTCTTAATTCCTAAATCTAAAGACCTTTACTCAATCTTCATCCTTCTTAGGTTCTCTATAATACTTGACACTGTTGACCTCCTCTCTCCTCCTGATCCTCTCCTCTGTGGGTTTTTGTTACATTATTCTTTTCCCCCTTGTCTGATCTCAGCCTCCCTGGTTAGATTATCATCTGTATCACACTTCCTGTGGGTCTAACCCAAGGTTCTATCTGGGGACCTCCTCTTTTCTCTCCACACTTTCACTTGGTGACCTCAGCAGCTCCCATGGTTCAATGACCATTTCTAGAGAAGATGACTCCCAGATCCATACTAGCTATCGACTTTCTCCTGAGTTGCACCAAATGTCTATTGGTCATTTCAAACTGAATGTCCTCTGCACATCTCAAACTCAGCGTGTCTAAAACAGAACTTATTACCTTTGCCCCAAAAAACAGCCCTCCATCCAGGGTACCATCATTTTCCCAGTCACTCACGTTGAAAGAAACCTTTATATCAACTTAGATTCACTCCCACCACCCACCCCCAACTATCCAATGTCTTAAAACCTTGACACTTCTAGCTCCCAAAATCCATAGGTCCATTTCTCTCTCTACTCCTGGCCACTCATTACTTCTCACCCCGGCTGTTCCAAAAACCATTTTATCAATCTCCTTGCCTCCAGGCTTTCTCCTCTCCAATCCATCCAGCTGCTGAAGTGATTTTCTTAAAGCTCAGGTCTTACCCCATCACTTCTCTGCTGAATAAACTCCAACGCTCTTCCCTCCTGCCTTTAGGATCAAACATATTTGTGTTCCCAGCACTTGGTAGAGCACCTGGCCCATAGTAGGTGCTTAGTAAATGCTTTCTGAAGCTACAATAGCAGGCTTTCCTAAACTTGTACACTACTCTCCTGCACTATGTGGCCATCAAGGTCTCGTTGTTGTAGTTTATTCAGGACAACGCATTTCTCCCCATCACGCCTTTGCACGGACTGTCCCCCATGCCTGGAGTGCGCTCCCTTCTCACCTCTGGCACGAAGCCTTTTCTGATCCCCCCAAGTACCTTGTTTTATCTGGTACAGATTTTGTATATACTTATGATGTATTCATGTTCTTCTCCTTTCCCTCCCACCACTAGAAAGCAAGCTGTAGCAACTTAGTTTCTATCTTCTTATCCTCCGGGGGCTGGAATAGTATTCGGCACGCTCGTGGTAAAATATACATTCGTTCAACAGAATCCAGAGATGAATGACTTAAAAGGGGGCGGGACTACGGAAGCCAGAACTTCCGGGGTTCTCTATGCGCAGGCGCAGAAAATTCTTCGCTTCCGGTGGAGGGGACTGAACTCTGGCTGGGGCGGTGAGAGCCCGACCCCGCGCAGTCGCTTTGCCGGTCCCGAGTCCCGACGGCTCTCCCTATAGACCCCTGGCATCTCGTCTCCGTGTAGCTCGCCATGGTCCAGCTGAGTGAGTGACTACCGGGTGGGGCGAGGCATTGTGGACTCCTTCAGCTTGGAGGAGGAGGAGGGACGCGCGCAGGGGAGGTGGAGCGTGGGGAGGAGGATCTGGCGGGTACAAGCTAATCAGCGAGCATGCTTCGCGCAGGCGCAGTGGGAGAAGCCCTTGGCTAAGTGCTGGTCCCTAAGGAGGCTTAGGCTTAAGGGGGCGGGGCGCTCTGCGTGCTGGGCGGGGATTGGGCAAAGCGGGGCTTAGTTCCCGCTCCCGACATTGACCCAGACCTTGAGCAAGTCCCTTAACCTGTGTCTGCCCCCCAGGATTCAGCCACTAAGCCATATTCTTCGCTTGTTCTTGGAAGTACACCCGAGGGTGACTTGCATCATAAGTGGTTTCAGGGTTCAGAACAGGAAGAGAGTCCACATTTATTTAGCACCTACTGTGTGCCAGCATCATGACTTTACCAGCTTTGGTACCAGGTGGGGGACGAGGGTTTGGTTCTTGAAGGGTGAGTAAGATCGGATGGGCAGAGAAAGGGAAGATGCATCGGGCTGAGGTACTGGAGGACAGGGGGGACCCCTTCCCTGCCCAGGGTCCATGTGAGCTGCTTTTTGCCCTGACCAGCGGTGTTCCCACAGCCTCCCTGCTCTGTAAGACGTACCGAAACGGCCATGTGACCATCCGCCTGGCCCTCAGCGGCTGCACCAACCGGCCCTTCTACCGAATTGTGGCCGCCTACAACAAGCGTTCCCGAGATGGCCCGTTCTTGGAGCAGCTGGGCTGCTATGACCCCCTGCCCAACACAAATGGGGAGAAGCTGGTGGGCCTTAACTTGGAGAGAATCCGGCACTGGATAGGCTCGGGAGCCCATCTCACCAAGCCCGTGGAGAAGCTTCTAGGTAATACAGCCCGGGCTGTGTGCTGTCAGGGCACCCTATACCATCCAGGTCTTGTTTACTGTGTTATCATTCATGGAAAACATCTGTGCAGCTGAGGACTGAACTTCCCCCCTTCCCCAGCTCAGGAATGGGAAACTTTAATCCTGGCTCTAATTTAGGTTTTTCAACTTGAAGAAGCCCTCTTATGCTAGCTTTTATAGATATTCTAGTTTTCCACTAGTGATGAGAGTATTGAAAAGCCCAAGTTTTTCCCTTTTCAACTGGGAGGAATATCCCTAGTTCAAGGGGCAGAACCAAGTAACCTCCTCCTACAATTTATTTTCCTTTTTTGAGGGTGTAGATGACTGAGTGGAAGATTAAGCATTTTATAATGGAGGGTAGTAGATTGGAGAGATCTCTGGACATTCATGATCCTAGCTGTTCCAGGACACTATGTTAGGACTTATTGTGTCAAGACTCAGTGTCATTAGATAGATTCCCTAGAGAAACAATGGTTTTGTGTTTACAACTGGACGTTCTGCTGCTTTTAGGCCTTTGTGGATTTTTCCCTCTGCATCCCATGACTGTCACGAATGCGGAGAGGCTTCGACGGAAACGAGCTCTTGAAGCCAGTTCAGCTTCTGAGGCAGTAAACAGAGAGGCAGCACCCAGCTGAGCGGTATGAGCAGGCTCTGCATGTCCAGTCCAGAAGCATTTCTCAAGTGCTTGTTCTGTGCCAGCCATTCTGCTGAGCTCTTCAAAGAATACGATCTTAGAGCCACATGGTGCCCTTTAGTCATTCTGTTTTGTTCTAAGGTGAATAAATGGAACTTTCAGAGCTTTGTGTGTTCTTCTGGAGCAGGGGTAGATTGGGGTAGTTGTGCTTTGTAGCTATGGGTCTAGTGTTAGGTTTCTGGAGGTTAGAGCTGGGCCTCCATGCTTATGGCCTTTCCTAGCTTTGAGATCTGGAGGAGACTGGATTTTTGGTCTTGGGCAGGCTGGGTTAGGGAATTATTGGGGCACAGAATCTAAAGGGTTAGAAGGGACCTCCAGAAAAATTGGGGCAAAAATAGGATGTAACGGGAAATCTGTAAATTGATATCAGATTGTGAGGGGCTTTAAATGCTCTGCCAAGGGATTTACTTTTTATTCTAGTAGCAGGAAGGAGTCACTGAAGCTCCTTGAGGAGTAGTGGGGTGTAGACAGATGCAACTCAGCCATCTCCATTTGAGGCTATCCAGAAGATGGTTTGAAGGTCGAGAGACTGGAGGCTGGGATTGAACAGTCCAGGCTGTGGACAGCTGGCATATGTCTAATGGTTTCCTTGTCACCTGAAAACTTGAACAATCTTCTATCTAAAAATATTGAATCTGGTGATAGAGTCCTACAGCAAACAAGGGAAAACCTTCCTTGGGATTGACATCCATCCATTACTGAACTAGTCCAAATGCCTGTGATCATCCAGGCCATGAGTCTCCATCTAGATTTTATGAGATTTTAGCAAATGGCTTGCTGAAATCCAGAACATTATAATAACCCCGAAGTATCAGTATAGCAACCCTGTCCAAAAGAGAAGATGAGTTTGGTTTGGTGACTTGTTCTAAAGGAAGTAGGCTTCTAATGATTACCATTTTCTCAAGTGCTCACAAACCACCAAGTAAGTGACTCGAGAGGAAACTGACATCAAAACCCCAAGCCCTATACGTTATAGCATCTTTCTTTTTGAAAAGCAGCACTTCTGCTTATGTCTACAGTCATAGATGACTGACAGTACTGTAGTGGCCTCATTAACAAGTGCTCAGTTTGCCTTGGGATGTAATTTGACCCAGCCAAGATATTTAAACTCATTTAGAATAACTACATGTTCTCTTGCTGTCTTCCCATCCATGCTGGGCTTTAAATCCCACCTAATCCTGTCTGTTTTACTGTTTGTTTCCAGTATGAAGATCGTTCTTAACAAAGAAGACGGAAGCAAATAGGAGTCAAGTCTTTTTTTTGGCCTCTATTACCTTAGGCTGCATGCTGGCCTATTCTTGTCCGTCTTGCTACAATTAATGCCCCACCCCCCTCCAAATGTTGTTGTTGTTAGTATTTCCTCCAAGCCACACCTCTACCTGAACCTGGTTGACGGTTTTTCTTAAATGTCCATTGCACTCGGGTATTTGTTCTCATTTATGTGTCTCTCATATCTTTTGTATGTGTCTTTTTTCAAATCTGAATTCATTGGAGAGTTCACTCTGTAATCATAGTGGTCTCCAACATGGCTACTTTGTCTTTAACAGTTAGAATAATTTATTCTGTTAGAATTTTTTTTTTACTTGCATTCTCTCATCCCTAAACCATTGTCCCTTTTAGCCTCTTGGATCATGGCTTAGGACCTATCATTTTATTTTTTAAAATCTATTTTCCTAAAGCTTTTGGGACACTTCTGATTATTTCCAGTGTTCCCTTTCATGGCTGTGATGAACTCATCACCATCATCATCAAATATTTATTAAGCCCCTATTAAGCGAGTGCTAGGCACTGTGCTAAGTGCTGGGGATACAAAGAAAGGCAAAAACACGAGATGCCTGATGGGAGAGACACCATGCGGAACCTAATCTGAACACATAAGAGGTTATGGTATAATGGGAGGAAATCTAAGAAGAAAGGCACTAGGAGAGGGAGAGACCTGGAAGAGCTTCTTGCAGAAGGGATTCAAGCTGAGTCTTGCAGGAAACCAGCAGGGAGAGCCTTCCAGCCATGACAGCTCCCATGAGGATAATATTGACAGGATGGCAGAGGGAAGTGGCACCTACCACACCCTTCACTTGCAAGTAGAAAGGATGGCACACATGCATCTCTTCCTAGACCCTCCAGTGGAACTAGAAAGGATACAGACTTTCACCTGGACCCGCATCTGAACTTGACCAAAGTACAGCAACAATTCCTCACGCATCACCAAGAGGTAGTGTAACAGTGGAAGATGCAGGCTGGACTCTACAACAGGAAGCCATATTATAGATGAAAAATTATTAGCACGAGGAAGAATGGCTGCGGGACATAGACAGTGGGAATTAACGACCTTGGCAGTGTCTCCTCACGTATTGGCAGCTGACTTGGACTGCCCTGACCCAAGCTGGAGTCTTCCCTCATCCATCCAGGGTATTTACTGCTTCGGGTGATACGGATGCTCTTAGGTACTTTTTGTTCTGTTCTTGAAGGAAGCATGTTTGGAATTGCTGTGCAGATTGTTTTAATTAAAATCGTGATCTTGGTTACAGATCATCCCAGATGCCTGCAAGGACAGCCAACAGCAAGAGGGTTGTGTGTAGTGAGATTAAGTACGTCAGTTTAGGATAGTTGACTCAATTTTGTTTGAAGCCTCCATTTTGTGATTTTGTTTTGACTGAGATGTTTTGCTATTAGGTTGAATTCCTTTAAATTGTTTTTCAACCATAAGAAAAGCTCTTATATGGTATAGTTTGATAAGCCACCTGTGTGTAGTCCATAAATAACTAATACATATACCTGAACCCCCAGATAGAACACACTACCAATGAGAAAATATTGTAAACAATTTTATCAACAGCTTGTGTAGTCAATTACCTACCAATAAAACTATGTGATTAACAAATTAGGTAATAGAGCACCGGTCAGAATTTGAGAGTAACCAGTGGACACCCCTATCTAAACCATGAAAGCTGGCCAGAGGTCCCAGTCAGCCTTCTCCAGAGTCATGAGTAGGATAGACTCCTGAGGTACTGTCTGCTTGAGACTTAAGCTCCCCATCTTTTTGTAGAGCAGTGTTGATTGACAGGGACTTAAGAGAGACGTCCTCTGGCTGGGCAGTGAGAAAACCTTGTTATGGGCCCTGGTATGACATATTTACTGATGGCACCTATAGGAATCAGGTTGGTGGCTTATTCCTAAAGGGGTTAATGTTTGTACTGTCAGATAATTGTACATTATAGATTGAGGAAATTAAAATTATTCTGTCATTTAATAATTAAATTTATTCTGAAATTGACCCTATTCTGTATCACTGCCCCATTTTGTCAAGCCACACTTCTCTGTTCTTGAGTTAAGCTCAGGAATGCAGTTTTCAATCAAGAGTGAATTCAAATGTGTGGTCGAAAGGAAAAGTTATTATCATTCATGCTAATAGTTCCTGGGACATCTGTTGTGTGTAAGCCCCAACTGGCTTAACCCGATACCACCCTCTCTTCCCCCCAAAGATGTCATCTGTCTTTCCTGTTCTTGGGCAGTAAAGAAAGATTTGATCTCCTCCAAAGAGATAGGCTAGTGGTACTGGTCCCCTAACAAAGATTACAAGAGGCAGATGAGTTCCATAAGACAATTATTTCTGTTATGATAAGGAACAGCAAGGACAGTGTAACTGGGAAACCTTCCTCACCCCCTCTTAATTCTAGTGCTTTCCCCCTGTTAATTATCTTCTATTTATTCTATGTAGAGTTTGCTTTGTATATATTTGCATGTTGTCTCCCCCCTCAAATTCTGAGCTCCTGGAGGGCAGGGACTGTCCTTCCTTCCTTCCTTTTTTTTTTTTAAACAGCAGCGGCGAAGGACATTGAATGCCAGGATGGAGTCTGAATTTTATTCATTAGGTCATAGGGCGCCATTAAATATCGTTTGGCTGGAGGGTCCCGTAGTCGTAAGAATGTGGTTTTGGACGTGTCGAGCTTGAGGCCCTGGCAGTCCCTCCTGACAATGTCTGATAGAAGGTCTGGAGCGAAGAAGGGAGTGAGAGCTTCGGATCTGGCCGACGTTGTCAGAGGCGACCTTTGGTGGCTATCCTAGCTAAATTCTGGGAGACTTCTACATTAAGGGAGTGGGAAGATGAAACAACAGAAGATAAAAGTGATCCGGAACCATTCTTGACCAAGCAAACTTAAGAACTATTTTTCAAGCTTTTAAGATGACAGCTTTGCTCTCTAGGCAGAACGAACTTCAATTACTCAAACAATATTGACTGAATACGGAGCGGTGGGGGGAGGGCGGGGGAAGATAAAATGAACAGAGCTCGAAGCGGGCTACAGGGACCCCGGCCCGCCTTGTTTCCTCCTCTGTCGAACGTCGGGGCGGGGTTCCGGGAACAAATAGGAACGACGTCAAGAAAGGGACCGCCGCGTCTCCGTCCCCGAGATCCCGTGGGAGGGGGCATCCCCCCAGAGCACGGGCGGCGGCAGCGGACAAGCCCAGCCTGAGTGGACGCGCGCCTACGGGGAAGCGTCACAGCGGACCGAGGGGCGGGGACGCCGGAGGTGCTCATCGCCCCGTAAATAAGGGAGGCGGCGGCTGCGGCGGCGGAAGAGACCAGCCCCTGTCCCGGGACGTGTTTACGACAGTTCGCGCCGCGCGCCTTTTGGCGGCCCCCGTCACGTGCCCGCCGCGCTGCGGCTGCGCGAGGCCCGGCCCCGCCCCCCGCGGGCTATATCACGGCGCGCTCCGCCGCGTCTCGCCGGCCGCGAACCCCTTTCGCGCGGGAACAGAAAGCGAGCAGCGTCCGGGAGGCGCGAGCCCGTGGACCCCCCGCTCGGGCCGCGGCGGCCATGGGGCTCCTGGAGTGCTGCAGGGAGGAGTTCGGCACCGCGGACCTGTACGAGGTGCTGCGCGTGCGGCGGAAGGCTTCGGAAAGCGAGATTCGGCGCGGCTACCACAAGGTGTCTTTGAGGGTGCACCCGGACCGCGTGGGCGAGGCCGGCCAAGAGAAGGCTACCCGGCAGTTCCAGGTGCGCAGGGGGCCGCCCCACCCCGGGACCCCGGCCCTACCCACCCCCAGCCCCTGGCAGGCTCTGGCCGCCCCGCCCCTGCGGGGGGTCGGCCTGTCTGGAGCCCCTCCCCCAGTCCAACCTCCCTGCCGTCTTCCCAAAGTGGGGGTCCGGCCGTGGCCCCTCCGGCGGCTCCCCGAGGCGTTCCCAGCCTCCCCCTAGCATCTTGGGGCACGCGTGGGCTTCCCCCGCCGTGGGCTGCGTGAGGACGCCCGGGATAGGAGGTCGCGCTGCCCCCGCCCGGCCCACTTCTCGTCCCCTGTGGGGCCGGGGTCATTGCCATCCGCTGTCCCTCCTAGATCCTGGGCCAAGTCTACGCGGTCCTGAGCGACCCGGCCAAACGGGCGGTGTACAACGAGCAGGGGACGGTGGACGAGGAGTCGGACGTGCTGAGCCAGGACCGGGACTGGGCCGCCTACTGGAGGCTGCTCTTTCAAAAGGTACCGAGGAAACGCTTTCCGCGCCGCGACCTCGTTTTACGGGGCGAACCTTTCGTTGTTGCATCTACGTAAAAGGGAAAGTGAAAACCTGTCCGGGAGGGTTGTCTTACTCCCGTCAAGGATAACCTCCGAGTTTAAGCGTCAAGTTTGTCACACGTCTTTTGGAAACTACATTTCTTTAGCCTACTAACTGTCCTGAGCCTGCAGCTTAGAACCACCCTTCTTCGTGGTGTCTTAGTCTTAATACCGAGAATTTAATGCTTCAGATTTGACTCATACAACTATTGTGTTGTGTGTAGTGGTGAATGTAGTTTGTGTCTATCAGATGTCACTTCTAAAAACATTTAAACATATTTTCCAACCTTTAACAAAAGGCAGGTTAACCGAAAAAGCAATTTATCAAGTTGGAGCCCCCCCCCCCCTTATTTTTCTAGATAACCGTAGAGGACATTAAGACCTTTGAAGAGAAGTACATTGGTTCTGAAGAAGAGCTGGCTGATATTAAGCAAGCCTGTGTGGACTTCAGGGGCGATATGGATCAAATCATGGATTCTTTATTATGTGCAAAATACACCGATGAACCCAGAATTCGGAACATCATCCAAGAGGCCATTGAATCTGGAGAACTTCTGCCCTATAAAGCTTTCCTCATGGAGTCAGATGAAAAAATGAATGCAAGGAAAATGAGGGTCAGTGTGTACTCTTGATAGTAGGGTGATGAGGGAAAAGGGAAACTGGAGTTTTTATTTATTGGGCTAATAAGTACTTAAACAAACTGTGTGCAGCAGTCTCAGTGTCATTACTTAGATAACTTCATGTGTTTCATACTGTTTGTATAGTTATGAGAAGTTTAGTGAAGGAGAAAGGATAGACCCCAGGGGAACTAACTTGTGGATGTGAATAATTTGCCTTGCATTTGCTTGAGATGATTTGGTAAAAGAAGATAATTCTGAAAAGAGGGGAAGGGGTTAACTTTTATTTTTGTTGAATTTTTTTTTAAAATACTTTCTAAAAGTTCTGCCTTGGGTAGTCACTATTGCTCTATATGATAAATTGATGCTTCAGACAAGGAACCTAACCATCCTATTCTAACCTAACCTTGCACAGAGATTTCTTCTCTGCAATATTTTCAAGCAAATGGACTTTATCTAGGTCTCCTAGGGATTTCTTCAGCTTTATTCCATTGCCTTCTGCCTTTTCTTTCCAATCTGATCTAATGCAGTAAAGCTTGACTAAAATTTCCCAAGTTCCCTGCTTCCACTGTGACAAAACCCCTGAATTTGAGAAATGTTCTTAATTGAGGGCAGCGCGGACAGCATGCTTGCCTCACTCAGGAAGACAGAGCGTCAGATCCCACCTCTGTACATGTCATGTGAGCCGAGGCAAGTCATGTAATGCCAGTGCTGTAGGAAAGCATAAGACCCTACCTTTCAAAGAAGGTGCTCATCTGCATTGGTGAAGGGGTTTTCCTCATCCAGGAGTTTCTCTTGCCCTTGAAATCACGTCTCAGTCCCTGTCCTTGTACCCAAATCCTTTTATATGCTCTAATAATATGCCTTGAAAAAAGAGTGGACTTGGGAGGTGGGGGTTCTAAACAGAATGAACAGACTTCCTGCCAACTCTTAGTTTAGAGTGAGTGTTAATGCAGAATTTATTGGTCCTTTGCTTTTGTGGTATATGATGTAAAGTAGGAGGCATTTCATTTGACCTTGAATCTCAAGTGTGTTTGTTTCAGGCTGAAAGAGAAGCCAGAGAAGCAGAAAAGACCAGAAGGGAGCTGGGCCTAGGGGATAAACCAAGTGACCTAAAAGCACTCATCCAGGTAAGCTTTAGGGGTGCCTAGGGCAGGTAGGACCCTTCCTCCTCTAGTCCAGTTCTTATTTTAGGGGTACATTGTTTTTTTTTCTGAAATGTGTTTTAACTCTTCCAACAGAGCAGACAAAAGGATCGGGAAAAAGAAATGGACAGTTTTCTGGCTCAGATGGAAGCAAAGTATTGCCACACTTCCAAAAAAAGGAAAAAAGACAACTGACAAGAAAGGAAAAAGGAATGAAGTCAATGGTTTTGTTTCTTCAGTGGGCCTTCTGTTTAATTGGTACTTACCCAACTACCTGGATAGAATTAGTAAAACCTTTATTATTGAGGAAAATGGTCTCCTCTGGCCTAGACTTTCCAGATCAGTGACTGTCTCATGAGTAATTTATTCAGCCATTGCCCCCGCCCACTTTCATTGGTTATATGTATACTCTCAAAGTGGTTACAGGCAGTCTGTTGTTTCTGTGAAATCTCCCTCCTGGAATAATTTAGTTTTCAGAGAATCTACATTTCCACAAGTCTACTTCCTCAAAAGGAGTTCTAGACAAATTTTATCAAGAAAGGAGACAGACTTCTAGCAGAGCTCACTTGACAGGTAATAATGCTGTTAACCACCAAACTACTCACTGGTGAGGAAATGAAATTATTAAAGCAACAAGTGAACAGCTTTGTTCTAAATGTTTCCTTGCCAGGTTTGTTTTCATTTATTTATAGTGAACAAGATTTGTTTTATATATTTTGTACTATTTGGTGCTGGCAAATATTTCAAGAATTTTTGTAAAAAAAAAATTGCACACAATAAACTAGTAAAATATTTCACTGCTACCTCCTGAGGTCTTTGTTTCCAAAAGTGATGTTAGGAGTGGGAGGGCTTGGTGACAGAGCCAAAAAGTCTTACCAAGAGTTGAACTTGATGAGTAACTTGGACTGTTTTGAAAGAAGAGAACTAGGACCTAGCTAGCACATTCATATTCACAACTCTTTTTTCAACAAGGCTTCCTCACATACTAAGCAATTTTGCAGAGGAAATTGAATACTATGTGTTTATCCCTCAACTGTCAAGACCAAGACTTCTGTTGAAAGTTTGTTACCATGGATCCTAAATTAGGAGGGAAGTGGAGGACACATCAGTTACTTCCAGGATTTGGTCACAAACATTATCAGTTACAAAATAGATTTTTTTAATTGCACTCAATTAAAAAAATATAATTTCATGCAGTTTGGATTCTCCCTTCTCATACTTGACTGGGCAGTAACATTGGCCATTTTGTTACCAATCAAATGATAGTAAAGTAACCTTACTTTATAATTTCAAGAATTCTTTTTCCTCAGGAGATGATGTAAACAATAAGACTTAAAACTAATTATATGATCAGATTTAATTACAAATAAAATTAAGTATTATGTAAACTAAACAGTTCTTGGAGATAAGCTACATTTGTACCATTGTTGTTGGCTACTCCACTGTCACCACAGCAATCTGTTTTGAGACTTAACTTCTGAAAATCCCCGACAGTTGGTGGAGCCATATAGGAAAGTTCCAAAAAATGAAATGAATTTGTTTCCCTCTTAGTATTGCTGGAGAAAATTTGGCAAAATGGGAGAATGAGTATTAGGGAAATCTGACCAATGAAGCAGAATTAGTAAGAATATAGCAAATACCAATGTTTCTGCAACTTCACCTGAAATAGAACTTGATCAATATCACTTTAAAAAGATAAGATCTGGCAAACTGGTATATTCCAATACAGGTTAAGTCATATTTCCTTCTACTGATGCATCATGTTTTCCAGTTGGTCTTGATTTACTGTCAGTTTTATCCCCAATAAACATCTGTGGCCAAGTTCCCTGGGGATCAGTCTGGCTAACTTTGGAGCGTACTCTAGGAAGGATTTTCATTTGAATGGCAGTTCAGCCTTCTAATAACACTGCTTCTATAATGATTTCACTTGAAATAAATCAAATTATTTTCAGGAGTTTAAATACAAGCAGAAGAGTTCTGGGGAATATAACTGCTTAATGCTATAGCAGTAAATAACTGCTGCTTTTCAAGCACCTGCAGTTACCTCTTGAATCCTGTAGTACTGATAATCCTGCTTGACAGACAACACAAGCAATGATTTGGGGGAGGAGGGGTGCATATCTTACGTAAGAGTCTTTGGTCCAGCAGAATAGCTTAACATACTCTGAAGGAAGATAAGCGGTTCACACGATCTTTGGCAGATACGGTGCAGTTTTTCTCCTAGTAAGTTATACAAAAATAACTCCTCATAAAGATGATTTCAAGTTTTTCTTGTAAACAAGTTCTGCATCACTGAGCTGATGGAATACTGATTCACAAAATCTTCAGATGAATTCACAACCACCTGACAACAGGTCTCTTGGTTTGGTTTGGTTTTTGGTTTACTCTATGGTCCCTGTCTGGTTCTAGCGACTGGTCCGCCTCGACTTTGAGATCTTGCAGGTCCATGTAACTGAAGGCCTATTAGACAAAGATGATATAATACATTAAGTAATATTAATGAGTCCTTTAAAAAAAACTCAAGCTGTTTTTTATTGCCTACTGAGCACTAAGAAAGCACAGATAATACATGAATCTTATAGTCTAGCAGGAGGGGAGCAAAGACCCTTTGTTACATTAGGCTGGGACATCAGAGAAAATATTTGATGAAAGGTGGGGAGAACATTAAGAAACATGGGAAACTAGTTTGGTCACATAAAGGAGAAGAGGGAGACAAAGTAGGGGGGGCCTTCAATGCAGGCAAAGGAAGGAGTTTGGACTTTATTTAGTGGATGACAAGCAGCTATGAAAAGTTTCTGATCAAGAAAGTGACATGAGCTGCCAAAGCTATGTCTCTAGCTATGAGTGGGAAGTGACAGTACAATAAGCACATGGAACTGCTGGATTTGGAGTTAGGACCTGGTTTCAAATCCTGACTGCCATATATCACACGAAAGCCAGGGTGGGGGGGGGAGGTTCTGGACTCAGAAGACCTATAAGGTCTTTTAATTCTTTATCTGTAATCCTAGGATTTTAAAATAAATCTGGCAACAGTGTGGGTCTGGATTACAAAGATGAGAGAAGAGGACTGGAGAACAATTAGCTAGGAATTAAATGTTACAGACAAAGAATTTTTCTACAAAGAGTTCTCCATACCAGTGAAATCACAGGTAAAAACAATAAAAAATTACATTTGGAAAAAATAAATGAATTGTTTACATCAAATCACATTAAAAACTTCAATAATTTTAATCTGATTTTTTTGGTAGGATTAAATTATATATACTTCAGTAATAGTCTAATTGTTTGCATTGGTCTTCACTAAAATTTACCACTGATTTCTAGCCCAATAGGTGTTATGGAGACAGGTGATTCCAAAGACAGTAATTTGTGTACATGTAACATCTTAGTAACTGACGTAGTAATCTGTAGTAATTTCCAGCTCATTTGAGCTGGAAAAATGATATTATTTCATTTAGGCTCCAGAACAGCCGGGAACATGTACTGGTATATATAGTATAAGTGATAATAATAGATTCTCAATACATCTTGAGTTTAGCTGATTACAAACAATATTTTTTTAACTGGCTGCTTCTACTGAACCTCACCTATTGAAGGATGATCGCTGTTCTCCTTGTCCTCCTTAGAATTACCCAGATGTTGGTGGTGAAAAGAACCCATGTGGGAGGAGCTAGCCATCCCTAAACTGATTCCTGTCACTCCTAGGTTAATGGAATCTGCAGAAAAGTAATTTAGGCCATTTAAAAAATTTGAAGTTTTAATGCGGCAGCATATTTTGATGAGACAAAACTAGTTTTAGGTTTACTGCCTAACTGTCCTGCCAATTATACTAATCAAAATGAATTTATGCCATTCTCTAGTGAGTGATAGTGAAACGACTCTGCTTCTTTGGTGGTTTTCATTAGCTTTAATAGTTTGTAACTGAAAAAGAAACTATTGTAGTCCTTATTAAATTCGATCTGAGTTTGACAATAATATACTTTTTACAATATAGTAACTATATATTAACTCATGTTAAGTTCACCCCACAAACCTTTTATACATAGTATACAAAAATTCAAAGCTTATATATATAATATCTGTTACCCTGTATCAAAAAAACAAGAACGAAGCTTACCTGTACCTGCAGATCCCCTTCCAGCCCGGGACTGATTAGAATAATCAATAACAGTGCAAGATCGTCGACACTGTGTATCTGGCTAGAAGGAATGGGTGAAAAGTAACTGAGGTCTTCCTTCATTAACTTTTCTACCCATATGCTAAAGATTTAATGTTTTAATATATTTAGGAAGGAAAACAGCTTTGAATTATTAGAACGAGCTTCATACAGACTTTTAAAGCATATACATACAGAATGCCAGAGGCTATACTCCTATTCATAGTATCTAAATCTCAAATCATTTTCACCCTAATATATGTATGTGTATGCAATAAAAAATATATACACAAAATATATAAATACATATATAGATTAGTACTTTTTGCCTACATGTCAAAAGTTTATTAACTTATATATGTGGCTTAGATTTTTTACTTGCTTCCAAGAATATTAAATATTTGCTCATTGTTCAGTGAAATAATGAATGGGATTAGTCTCTGTATCAACATTAATAAACCTATTTTGCTATCTAAAACCTAACTTCATATAATAACATTATGAAGTTTATCATATTGATGAGAAATAGCTGGTTCATGATATGAGTTATTTCTGAATAAGCTGCTTGTTTCCAGTTAGACCACTCACTAACTTATTAGAGTAAAGATGAAAATCAGCATTGAACTAGAATAAAGATGGGGCAGTCATGACCTTTCAGGGCTCCAGGAAACTCTATAATTATAAATTATAGAGAAGATGTTACTATACTGGTGAAGGGAGCTTCTTATACTAATAAAATCAAAGGTCCAGTCCCTATCTCTGTTATCAAGGCTGAAAAAAGGGGGGAATGGTTAAAAGAACAGAAAGTGACCCATATTTTATTAACCATTCCTATACAAGTTTAATTCAGGTGATCATTACATATACCACTTTGGCAAGAATCCCTTAGAAGAAATGGAATAGTGCTCACAGTCAACAAAAGGGTGAGAAATGCAGTCCTGGGGCATAATCTCAAAAATGACAATGGTATCTGTTCAAATCCCAGACAAACCTTTCAACATCACAGTAATACAACTCTATGCTCTAACCACTGAGGCCAAAGAGGCCAAAGTTGCTCAATTCTATGAAAACCTACAATGTCTCGAAATAACACAAAAAAAAGATGTCATGTTCATCATAGGGGACTGGAATGCTAAAACAGAAAAGCAAAAGATAACTGGAATAACAGTGAAGTTTGGCCTTGGAGTACAAAATGAAACAGGGCAGAGACTAATGGAGTTTTGTCAAGATAACTCACTGGTCATGGCAAACACTCCTTTTCATCAACCTAAAAGGTGACAACACATGGACATCACCAGATGGTCAATATCAAAATCAGATTGATTATATACTTTGCAACCAAGAGAAAAATCTACAGCCAGTAAACACGATGTGGAGGTGACTGTGGCTCAGATCATGAACTTCTTATTGCAAAATTTAGACTTAAATTGAAGTAGGGAAATCCTCAAACCATCCACGTATGACCTAAATAACATTCCTTATTATATAGGAAGTAGCAGTGATTAGTGGATTAGATCTAGTAGACAGAATGCCTGAAGAACCATGGACAGAGGCTTACAATATTGTACGGTAGGCAGCAACAAAAAGCATTCCAAAGGAAAAGAAGCAAGAAAGCAAAATGGCTGTCTAATGAGGCTTTACAAATATCTGAGGAAAGAAAGAAGGAGAAAGGGAAAGATATACCCAGCTGAATGCAGAATTCCAGAGAAGAACAGCAAGGAGAGAGATAAGAAGGTTTTCTTAAAGGGGCAAACAGAGACATGGAAGAAAACAATAGTATGGGACAGAAAAGATCTCTTTAAGAAAATTAAAGATATCAAGGGAACGTTTCATGCAAAAATGGGCACGATAGAAGATAAAAATGGTAGGAACTTAAAAGTAGAAGAGATTAACAAGAGGTGGCAAGAATATACAGAAGAACTATACAAGAAAGATCTTAACATCACTGATAACCACGATGGTGTGGTTACTGATCTAGAGCCATACATCCTAGAGAATGAAATCAAATAGGCCTTAGGAAACACTGCTGACAATAAGACTAGTGGAGGTGATAGAAATCCAGCTGAGTTAATTAAAATCTTAAAAGATGCTGCTGCTAAAGCGCTTCACTCAATATATCAGCAAATTTGGAAAACAAAACTCAATAGTGGCCACAGGAGTGAAGAGGTCAGTTCAGATTACCAAACAATTGTGCTTGTTTCTTATGCTTCAGAATCTGAAAGCTGGGCTTTAGCAATATGTGGACCAAGAATTACCAGAAGAGCAGACTGTTTTTTGAAGAGGCTGAGGAACGAGAGACCGAATTGCCAACATTCACTGTATTATGAAGAAAGCAAGAGAGTTCCAGAAAAACATCTACTTCTGCTTCATTAATTACACTAAAATTTTTTGACTGTGTGGCTCACAACAAAATTTGGCAAGTCCTCAAAGAGATGGGAGTAAATAGATTATCTTACTTGTCCCCTAAGGAACCTGTAGGCAGGTCAAAAAAGCAAGTCAGAACCGAACATGGAACAACTGATTGGTTTAAGACTGGAAAAGCATTATGACAAGGGTGTAGATTGTTCCCTTATTTATTTAACTTAAATGCAGAGTACATCATGTGAAATGCCAGGCTGGATGAATCGAAAGCTGGAACTAAAGCTGCCAGGAGAAATATCAACAATCTCAGATATACAGATGACACCATTCTGATGGCAGAAAGTGAAGAAGAATTAAGAAGCCTCTTGATGAGGGTGAAACAGGAGAGTGCAAAAGCTGGCCTGAAAGTTAAAATTTAAAAAATGAAGATCTTAGCAACTGGTCCTATCACTTCCTGGCAAATGGAGGGAGTAGAAATGGAAGCAGCGTCAGATTTTATATTCTTGAGCTCAAAGATTACTGCAGATAGCAACTGCAGCCATAAAATTAAAAGACGGCTGCTTCTTGGAAGGAAAGCTGTTGCAAATCTGGATAGCGGACTAAAAAGCGGAGACATCACTCTGCTGACAAAGGTCTGTACAGTCCTCAGAGTTCTGTTTCTACTTGAGTTTGACACCACTGCCCTACATGAATTTTGTGACTTGTCTGTAGGAAAGGTCCTCTGAAGGCAGCATGTTGGGAGAAATGTGTCCAAGACAAGGATGCCTGTTACCTCCGTTTCTGGTAAAACAAGGATTTGCATAGGTTGAGTTTCACTCTCAAAATAAACCTTGCTTAAGAATCCTCATGCCTTATGTCAGTCTTAAAGCATTACTGTCATATGTGATATTAAGTACACACACAGGGAAGCAGATTTAATAGAGCTTCTAAAATATATTTCTGGGACTCAGTAGCTATTATTTTTCTCCTTAACTTTTTTGTTTGTTATTCCTCTTATCAAGATCTCATGCATTCATCTGTCTCACAATTCATTTTCTGTGTGGAAATAAATAGGTGGGTCAGATCATCACACCGATCTGTGTGTTTATAACCCCAAGTTAGGGAGCAAATAGACCAAATCCATCACTATCCTGGAACCTTCTGGGGCTCCACAGTGAGCAATGCTGGCAGCCTAGGCCGGCCTCTTCTCTAGCTCTGGAAGCTGCTGACAGAAATGCCGGGGCTGAGCCACCTGCAGGGTATTAGATGAGCAAGTTATCTCTGTAGGACTCCATTCTGGCATGAAACATGTTGACAAGGAAGACTTTTTACCATTATTTTTTGTTTAGTAATGTCAAGATTCCAAATTTACATATCCCAGCTGGTCATCAGAATCCCACCCCCTGTTCTGACAGTCCTCTAAGAGTGTGTTATGAGGGCTTCTGTGGCTGAACAATATCCAGGGCTGGCTGTGTACACACACTGCTGGTTTAATCTTCTCTTGTTTAGTCTCGGAGGCCTAAATCAAAGCTTTAACATAGTTTAAACAGTAAACAGGGAGAAGGCCTCTGGTCTTGGTCCCAGCCTCTATCATCTGAAGAATGCAGGGGCTGGACTAGGTGATCTCTAAGCTGCCTGCTAACCATCAGTGAGATTCTCTAAGAAGCTCTCTATATGCACTTGCCACAGTTAATTTTTGGTCAGCCCTCATCGTGTTGTTTTCACAGACAACTGATGGTTTTGCTAGTGACTCAGCATAAGTCACTGGCATCATTAACATCCTAAGCAGAATCCTAAGCAATACTGTCTCCACTTGCTCTCTGCAAAGTTACATGCTAAGCTTATAAACTGGCATTTCTGCCCATCTTGTTCCCCAATGACAAAGACCAAAGAAGATATTTGCACTCTACCAAAAATGACTGAGTGGTGTTGGGTCTGGAGAAAAAGTCAAGTAAAAGGAGCCTCTCCTGCGGCTGCTGGTGAGGCTCATCCACCACTGCGCTGCGAGCTCGGCTAGAATCACCGTGGGATTTCTAAGGGAGAAGGCAAAAGATCAGATGGCCAGTGACTGCTTGGGTGCATGGTAAGCCCGCAGAAGCCCTCCCCAGCCTGAGAGAGAGCGCGTTCTCACGAATGACACAAGCTTCACACTTGAGCAAGAGTGACTCCAGGACGAGGTCTCCCCAGGAGAAACCACTCCTGCCCAGCCCAGGCAGATGCTCCCACTGACACACACAGACACGTAAGCCCATACCGTCTGCCGCTGTGAGGCCACACTGCTCAAGTGCTCCACATCAGCTGTGCCAATTGGGGGAAGCAGGTTATTTCGATTCAGTGGCATCGGTGAAGGAGAAGACAAGGACTGCACTGCTGTTGGGCTGCCATTCCCCAAGAACGGGAAGAAAAAAGCAGAAATGATTCATTCAAATACAAATGAAATGCCTGATCTTAACATCTATACGGTGGTGCTTCAAGCCACCCAAGCATAATTTCAGTTAAGAAAATCTTTGGGCAGCGCTTCCCAGGCCTTTTCTCTTCTGTAGTCTGGGGAGAGAATTCTGTCTTACATTTGGAAGATCTCAGAACGAGGGCTTCATTGACAAAATCTCAAGGATTTCTTTGCAGTACTGGGTCTGGGTACAGCCTGGTGTTGTGCCTTTTACAAATAGTACTGGAAGTAATATGTCTAGCCTATGAAATAGCTTTCCTTAACACAAGTGTGGATTAACTACCTATCACTGATACCTAGCATTGCAAGTACAATCCACTGATGCTATCATGTGCCAGAAAACAATTCTTAAAAGGTGGAAAAGCACAAAGTTAGTGCATAAACTGCTTGAGTTAAGGACAGTTAATGAGCAAAGATTTATTTGAATTTATTTGGCAATATAATTAGATTAACATGGCCATTGATTGGAAAACTATGAATTCTGATCCATGATTACCATTTCTTTTCTTTTCTTTTTTGAAGCAATTGGGGTTAAGTTACTTGCCTAGGATCACACAGCCAGTGTCAAGTATCTGAGGTCGGATTTGAACTCAGGTCCTCCTGACTCCAGGGCCAGTGCTCTATCCACTGCGCCACCTAGCTGCCCCCATGGTTATCATTTCTATATAAACATCCAATACAACAGAATCCTGCTCTCCAAGATGGCCACTGGTGCCATGCACCATTCCTCCACCCCCATTTTTTCCCTCTTCTGGTCAGTATTCTCCTGTGGAAAGCAATCTAGTTAAACATAATGGGTGGTTAAGAAATCAAGAAATGATCACTTTGGGTTACTATTAGTAGTAAAGCACATTTTAACTTGAAAACAGTCTACAAAAGTAGGCACAGACAAAAACACATGCATGTGCTCACCTGATGTGGCTGGTCATTGTGGAGATCTCTGTTCTAAATCTGTGAAATATCTAATAAAATAAATTTTATATATCTATATCTACATATATCTCCACATTATTTGGAGTGATCAGCAACATCGTTAAATGAAGGAACATCCTGGAAGATGGGCTAATATTTTACAACAGGAGTCCCATAAAGACCCTATAGCAATATTTTTGCTAGTATGAAAAGCTGCTAATTTGATTTTAAAAATAGGAGTATCATCATGAACAGAATTAATCACTCTTTGGGGATATAAAGAGAATTCTTTTTCTTTTCAGAAGAAATATCAGACTTTGCCCTCATCTTGGACTAAGCACCATTTTCCATACCCTCTACTTTATTATTAATCTCTTCCCCAGAAAAGATAGTATTCTTGGTTAATTCCACAGCTATATTTGAATCAGCAGGTTTTTTATGCATGCAGGTGCATGAGATCTAGAACCTATTTCATATTAAAACATTTTCCCCTATTGTTCATTCTGTATTGTGTTCAAGTTAACCTTTCAGAACCAAATTGTAACTATGTAGTTCTAATTTTTTCTCCATTTTGAGTTATTCTACCTAAAATTAATTTTTCTTTAGTTTTATCAGAGCTCTCTAATTTTGCAAAGTATGATTTTGAACCTACAGTCGGGTTCCTCTGATGATTTCATCCATGGGTCTTGGTGTCGCTGAACGTGAATGGCTTGTGCCAATTGGATGAAGGGTACGTGGTGGCGGGTTGCGCCTCCTGGCAGATTGTACTGTATATGATAGAGACGATGAACTGAGCTCCAGTGTGCGATTTGGCCAGTTTCGGTTAGAAAGGATGGTACTGGATCCAGGTCTCATAAGTAGCTTGTCATCTAAATCTCTAGCAGCCAAATGAAAAATCCAGAATTTAAAATATGACTCAACAACATTCAAAATGGAAACAGAAATATCTCACAGTATAAAAGCCTTGGTTTGTACAACATGCTCAAAGAAAAAAAAATTTAACTTTATAATAAACAATTTAATCCCAAGGAATAATCTGTTTACCCAGGTCAGATAAATTAACCCTTCCTTAAGAATATGGTATAATTTTAGGTACAAGCAGAAGTAACTAGGAAAAGTAAGCCATTCACTTGTCATCAGAGACAACCTTAGTAGGCCCTACATGCAATGTGATGAGGGTCATCAAAAATCCACCTACCTAAAAATGTCTCCCCACTGGTCTGCCACCACACCTGAAATTTACTCTGATGGAATCATGCCCTTAAAAAGTTCTAGTTAGAATGCCTCTGACTGGCTCAATGTGGAAGGTACATGTTGTACTGCTAGTGCCTTTCAGTAGGGAGCCTACAGTGTAATATATCTGTATTTCAAGAGTGCCAACTGGGACCTATCCACTTATATTAGGATAGTAGTGTTTGGTGATCCATAGAACTGCCCTTCCTGAAAAAGTGAGTCCTCTGACAAAATGAAATGGAAGACCTACATAGTTCATTGGCTTACCCATACTTCTGCGGGCTTAAAACTAAAAAGTTAGCATTAACTGTCTGCTATGTAGAGGTCATTGTGCTTGGAGCTGGAGAAGATATGTTTAAATAAAATATGGCCCATTGCTTATAGTCTAGTAGGCTGAGGGGAATGATAAACAATAACTAAAATACAAACAGTAAATCTTATGTATTGTGCTGTTAGGATTACTTCTTTGTGGGCAGAGATAGATATAGATATACTTCTTTAGATCCCTCAAGTACCTAGCACAGTGTCTTTCACACTGTATATGCTGTTGATTTACTTAATTTCCCATGTTTCAATAATCTACAAAGTCCAGGGCCTACAGATTTTTTTTAAAAAAAGAAAAAAACCCTTTCTTACAGGAGTTTGTCCATCAGAGAGAGATTCCTTGGCTGTAAGGGCATCCCATGAACCAACAAACCATTCACATTTGGCTGGTGACTGCCACTGGCTGCTTGACAGAGACGCATCTACAAGTCAAAACGAAAAACAAACAAAACCCCACCCCCACATTATTCTTTATTTGACGTTAGGGACTTGTTTAGTTATCTGATCTTGTCAAATATTCATTTGGCAGCAAAAATGGAGAGCTTTTAAATGGGGGGCCATCCAATCCGCTTCTTGGCGGCTTGTTGATGTCTGCAGTATATTGGTAACTTGCCCCAGCCTCAATTATAGGTTGGGGTCCAAGGTAAGTTAGGAAGTGGTCTTTATAGGTCATCGTGTCTGGTCTAGGCAAAGGATATCCTGTCAAAGATAAAAGCTATTTTCATAGGCAGGAAGAGAATAAACTTTGTCTAAGAATTCTTTAAGCATAATAAATCAGAACCTAGGCAAATATACAAAGAAAAAAGTTCAAATAAAATACAAAGCAACTATAACAAATGAGGTAAACTTGCTAATTTACTCCTGCTGCTCTCTGTTTTTAAATTCATGGATAATCACTGCATAATCCAGGACTTTGCTCCTAGTATTCCACCAATTCAACACTTGGTTGCATTTTTATTTACAACATAGCTCTTGAGAGGGAGTGTGAATGGATTTTTAAAAAAAACTTACCCTGGTACTTTCCAGAAGCCCTGCTTGACTGATCTCGGGCTAGTCCACCACTGGCCCCTGGATCTTGCTCAGGGTCTCTTCCCAGTGTGAAGGCCAGCCCCTCCCTATGCCAACTGCCACAGAATCTTTTATTTATGTATTTATTTATTTTTAGCAACATCTCATGTGAAAAATTTATACTTTCAGTCTCCCCCTTTACAGATCCAACCTATGTAAAATTTTTAGATTAAAGAAACATTAAAGTCTATGTTACTGTATCACAGACAAATTATGAGTTGGGTGTTTTATTTGTAACACACAGAGATGATCCGATTTTGTCTAGCAGAAAGCTTGAGTGAGTTAGGATTGTCTAAGTCTCAATTCAAAAACTGGAACGACCTCTTTTCTGAGTCAATAGACATCCTCTTGAAACTTCAGCTTTTGAATGAGGATAAATATGTGATTAAGCACAAATAGATGGCCATCTTTTTTCCCTACTGTAGATTTCTCTGAGATAACTCTTCCTTCTTTTTGACTTGCCTATTATGTCTGGGGTGTGAGCTCTATGCATCCAAAAAAGGTCAATGTAAGGAAGGCAGAAAGGATAGGAAAAAGGAAAAAAAGGATAAAAGAAGAAAAAAGGGGGAGCAGGAAAAAAAGAATAAGTAAATATAAAGAAAAACCCAAGACGGTTCTCAAGACTACTTATTGTTTTAGGACCATGTTGTGTGGAGTGAGAGGAAAATAATACATCCTTCATAAAATCTGGATTAGCGTAACAGAGATTATCCTAAAGGATACAGACCTTGGTTGCTTCTTCAAAAGGCCTACCTGAGAATCTCATCATTTTAGCTAAACTAAAATTACAAAAAGAGTTCAGGTTATTATTATAAAAGATATTTTCCATCATGAATTAATGAATGTGGTAGACATTGTACACATTTCTGGACCACAATGACCAAGATGGGAATGACAAAGAGGTTGTCCCATTAGAAAATCTTAATATTATCAGTATTAGGCTACCCAAGACATTGGCTTCATAAGGTTACCGGTTGTGACGTGATGGAGAGCATCTTCGACTGTGGCACCTGAGGTAACACCAATGGCTGAGGTTCACATGGCATACAAGGGCTTTCGGAATCGGATCTTGTTGTCAAAGCATTGCTCTCATCATCTACAGAAAAGAACAAAGGCAACCCTTGCTTATTTAAGAGTCACAGCAACATGACTTTTCAAACTGGTTCAAGTGTCATTTTCTCAATGAACTTTTCAGATAACTATCTTGTCTTTTCTTTTTTTAAAATTAATTTATTTTGATTTATCAACAATCACTTCCATATGCTTTTGAATATAAAATTTTTCTCCCCCTTCTTCCCCACCTCCCTCCCCACCTCCCTTCCCCAAGACGGTGTGCAATCTGATACAGGCTACACATATACATTCCTATTAAACATATTTTCACATTAGTGATGTTGTAAATAAAAATTAGAACCAATAGGAGGAACCACCAGAAAGAGGAAACAAAACTCAACAGAAGAGAAAAAAAAACTAGCAAATAGTATGCTTCAATCTGCAGAGAACTATCTTTTCTCAGTTAGACTAGGTCTTCAAAGTTGGAGAGAAAACCTTTGCAGATATGGTTTTGCTGTAAGTAGCAAACAAACCCTTTAAATGATTTCTCCTCAAATGTATGTTGGTTAAGTAGGTGCAGGAAATCAAGCTTGAGCTTGACATGAAATTTTCTTTCTCAGGAAAAGTCAGGAAAAACATTTTCTTTCATCTCTGCAATTAAAAGACTCATGCAGAAATGTTTTAGGAAGAGTGGTTCTACTGTATATTTTGGCCCACCTCAAAAATTCCTAATATGAGTTCCTGACCTTGGGAAAGACTCGTATACTTTTTTCATATAAGATGACTAGCGTCATTTTACACAATGAAAGCATGCTAACCTTCATATTAAAAAGACAGCCTATCTAAATGCTATCATCACACTGCTGACCTGCAACAGTGAGGCATTGATTCTTTTAGACTCCCATGATCAATGACATTTATCTGCAGTACAATGTAAGCTCTTGGAGGGCACAGCTTACCAGAATGCCTTGTACACAGGCATTTCATAAATACTTGATGGACTTAATTGTAAAACAGCTGCCTGGGAAAAGAGTGGAATCTGCGGTCCTTGAACAGAGAATGGCTAGCTGATCCCAATGGAAATCGGAAGCATCGATGTTTCAAGTATTTACTAAGCTCTGTCTATTGGGCTTATCAAGTTTGCACTCTAAATAAACTGGTTTATATCTGTGATAGTAGGATCAACAAAAAGCAATTTTAAAAGTTGATTATTTCTCTCTCAGAGATTCAACTGTCCCTAGTTACTAAAACCTTACAAAGAAAAGTCAAGTGCAAGTCTTCTAGTATAGCTGGATCTAACATCTTGGAACATTTCAATTGCTCTCATTAAACAATTAAGACAAAAAGGAATGCTCTTCTGGCCCTACTTCAATCTCAAAATGTTAGTGTTCCCTATTTTTGAAGACCTGAGGTCTCACAGTGATAGACAACAGGGGAATAATCCTGTCCTATCCTCTTCTATCCTTCCTTTCGTTACCAAAATTCTCAAATGAATAATCTCTCCTTCCACACCATCCTATTCCTCAATTCCAGGTCATGTAGCTTCTAGCCCTACAAATCCTCCTGAAACTGAAGGTCAGGGACAGCTAGGTGGCTCAGTGGATAGAGCAACGGCCCTGGATTCAGGAGGACCTGAGTTCAAATCCGGCCTCAGACACATAACACTTACTAGCTGTGTGACTCTGGGCAAGTCACTTAACCCCATTGCCTAACAAAAAAAAAAAAAAGAAAGAAACTGAAGGTCACCAGTGACTACCTATATGCCAAACAGAATGATCTTTTCTTATTGCTGGACTCACAGAACTTCAGAGCTAGGTGGGACTTTAGCGACCAGCAATCCTGAGGTGCGTTGTCACATCTTTCTTATTTATTTTGTACAGATCCCTCTGCGCAGATGTTGTTCCTTGTCCTATCCCCACCCTCACCCCCACCCCCAATAGAAACGAGCTTCTTCAGAGCAGGAACAGCTTTGTCTGTGCATCCTTAGCACCTAACCAAGCATCTGGTGCAAAGGATGGAGACTGGGATGGGACTTGGTATTACAAAAAGTTCTGACCTAGAGACTCCTAAGAGTCTTTGAGAAGCAATGGTGTAGAGAGCCCTTAGGTAAGGAAACTCACTTTCTTTGGAACTGGTAACTCTAAAGAGCTGACTGAAGCACTGAGGTGAAATCACTTACCAGGGCCACACAGCCAGGAGGTGTTGGAGGTGGGACTTGAACCCAGGTCTTTCCAGCCTCAAGGCTGACTCTCAAGATACACTATACCCACTGGCACACAGTGGGCAGTTAATAAATGCTCACTGAACTGAATTTATGGCTTACCGAAAAAGAAAAGCAGCAAGATATCATGTGATATCAATGAATTAGGAAGAGTGAGATACAGTTTGTTGCTTTTTAAAAACTGTGTTAGAAGATGTCATCAAAAGATGAAGCTAATGTAAGGACCATTACAACAGGGGTCAAATTCAGATATATTGTAAAGAACAAAACTAGAAATGACAGAGAGACAGAGACAGACAGACAGACAGAGAGAAGGTCAAACAAGATCTTGTGAAATACAATAAGTTTGATGACACAGCTTGGCCCTAAGGCTGGCATTAATTCTCATTCTGCACATTAGTAATAGAAAAAGATTTTACTCAACATGAAAACCACTGGCAAGGCCCTAAACTAGCCCTTGAAGAGCAGAAAGGGCGGTGGCCCCATCACTTCTCCTTCTGACGCTCAGACTGAAAAGGAAGAAGCTTTTTGGTAAACGCCGTTTCCGCACAGATCCCTACCTGAAGCTGAGCCCTCCCAGTGCCTCCGAATCAGCTCCTCCATGCAGTCCAGCATGTTGCTCCACACGTTGTCAAAGACGCAGGCAAGAACATCCTCCTTCATGCAATGAAATGGAGCAATGGGAGGACACCCTAATTTTTTTCTCTCACAAGACAGGCCTAATTTTCTTCCATGTAACCTATCTTCCCTAAGACAGAAGGAAAGAAAGGGAAGGCAGTAAAGATGCTTTGTTCTTGTTATTTGTGGCACATTTAGCATTGTTGGTTGGATTGGGGATGCAGTTTAGTCTTACCACAATCTCCCATTTTATAAGCTACATGTGCGAAGCTGTCTTTTGAACAAAAACAGCTCTGCACAAAATGAAGATACTGTATTTTCATTACAAATTTCTCCTTTTTCCCTTGCAAGTACTGTGTGAAATACTCTGTATATTTTTAAAAGTTTTGAGTTGATGGGTGATCATGCTAGGTGAACAAGAAGAAGGCTAAACACACTTGAACATTATTTAGTATTGTTATAAATTACAATTGATGACAATGTTAATCGGATACTTATTTAATGGTGAGTGATTCTTATGATGTATGCTTCAATTTTAACAAAACCTTTTAGGATTCTATTTGCTGGGTGCTGGAGGGACAAAGATAAAAAGGAGAGAGTTCTGGCTTCCAGGAGCTTACATTCAACTTGGGGGGAGAGGACACATACAGAGATAGATAATACAAGACTGGGAGCAAGCAGGATAAAGCAGGGACAGATCACAATGAAGCATGAACAGTAAACAGTTCCCATAAGTGAACGTGATCAATGTAACTTTTACTCAATCAAACCAAAGCAAGAATGAAGAACCGGCAAGGGGAAGAAAACGTTCTGAGGCCCTTCTAAAGCTCCCTTGGTTCTATAGGCCAAGCACTAGATGGGCACACTGGAAAGAGCGCTGGGTCGCCAGTCATGGAGACTTGAGTTCAAATCCAGCCTCAGACACTTACTAGCTATGTGGGCAAGTCACTTAATCCTGTTTGCTCCAGTTTCCTCATATGTAAAATGAGCTGGAGAAAGAAGTGGCAAACCGCTCTTCACCAAGAAAACTCCAGATGGGGTCAGAAAGAGTCAGACCCAAGTGAAACAACTGAACAACGACTAGCTCTTCCTCAATTTCCAACACGGAATGTCCAAAGCCAAGGTGCTCAAGGAGCACACACACACACCCCCCTTCCTGGGTGGCAGAACACTATGCTCTGGATACACCTGGTTTATATGAACAAATCTCCCACCCTGACAGTAGCAACTGGTATATCTTCATCGTGTTTCAGAGCCAATGGACCTCCTGGGTCTCGAGCGACACACACAAAACTGTCAGAAGGGGAAGAATGAAAGCAAGAACCAATGAGCAGAAGTACAATTCAGTGCTGTGATTTAAGGAATGCCCATCTTTCAGCTCGACAAATAAATAAAATATCCCCTGTGCACTCAAATCCTATCAGTTAGAAATCCAATTGCTATTAAGAAGCTAAAACCTGGAGAAATATATGAAAGAGTGGGGAAAACATTAGTTATGACTCATACTTAGTATGAATAAGCTTAATCAGTTTTGTTCCTAATATCCAGTGAGACAAACAGAGCATAAGAGAAGCTAAAGAAGAGCGAGGAGCAGAAAAGGAATCCTGCCCTCTTTTTCTTGGGGAAAGGAGAGCCTGGTTGTAGTGGATCTGGGGGAGCTTTGGTCAGCCAGTCTGTGACATACCAGTACTGCATTTCTGGCAGGGATGAAGGAGAGAGAGAACCAGGAAAATGACAGGGGCTTGAAGAGGGAGATAAGGCACCAAAGATAAAACTTTGCTTGTGAAAAGGAAAATGTAGCTTTACTCTATGGAAAAAATTCCTGTTATTAGAGATAGCCCAAAGTGAAATGTGTTGCCTGGGAAAGTAATGGGTTACTTTCACTGGAAGATCCAGAATACTCAGGTAGGATAGAGAGAGGATTCTTGTTCAGGTACGGGCTCAACCAGATGGCCTTGAGGGCTGCTTCCAACTCTGAATCAGGAGCTCTGGGTAGGGGTGCAAATGTGTAGAGAATACACAAGTAAATACAGTCCAGGATGGGTAATGAAAATTAGTCCAATAGAGAAAATGTCAATACTAGTTTTGGAGGCTAAAGAAACAATGGCAAATAAAAACTCCCATGAAATTGAGGTAAATCTAATTCACACTAGTAACCAAGTTTAGATGACAAATCATATATAAACCACAACATCTTGTTGAAAGAAAGAGGTAAATAGCTTAAAAGTCAAAATACTCACTTGTCTGTAGTGTCGAATGCTAGATATTCTTCTATTATTCCTTCTGAGACAATCACACCCTCTTCTTCATCTTCTCTTTCCACAGAACATAAGCTTGGAGATTTGGAGACAGAAGCATCTTTATGGACATGAGAAAGTGAAAACAGTAACTTCTTACCTCTTATACCAAACCTGGGGGAGAAAGGAAAGGCAAATATAAATCACTGTGCAGTCTTCAACCAATAATACTGTCTTATGATATAATACTGTCATGGGACTCAGGGAAATCCTCAAATACTTTTGTACTTTCTTGACTATCCTGACTCATGATCTCTTCTCTCTTTCCTCCGAGTTACTGCTACATTTATTATTCATACCCTTCATTTGACATTTATGATAACTGATGTTGTTTTAATGTCTTTTTTCAAACTAATTTTAAACATAAGGATTTCAGCTACTTTATATAAAAATAATTTAAAACTATTTCTATCACTCAAATTTTTTAAATCTTTGTTAGTGATTTACATGAGGCAGCTAGGTGACACTGGGGATACAGTGCTGGGCCTGAAATCAGGAAGACTCATCTATCTGAGTTTAAATCTGGCCTCCGACACTCACTAGTTGTGTAACCTTGGACAAGTCAATTACCCCTGTTTGCCTCAGTTCCTCATCTGTAAAATGGCCTGGAGAAGGAAATGGCAAACCATTCTATCTTTGCCAAGAAAACCCCAAATGGGGTCATGAAGAGTTGGACACCACTGAAAATGACTGAACAACAAAAAATAAACATGTTTATTGGGCTTCTAAGCCTTTCACAGCTTGTCCCAAACATACTTTCCAATCTCATTACTCCTTCCTGAATTCTACAATCCAGGCAAATAGACCTAGTTGTTCTCTATACAGAACACTTCATCTCCCCCACCTCTGTGTGTCAGCACCAGCTGTCTCCTATTCCTAGAATGTACTGCCTCCTTGGCTCTGCCTTAGAATCTGTTTCCTTCAAAATTCTGCTCAAGAGCCACCTTCTACATGAAGTCTTTCGCACTTCCCTTAGCTGCTAGTGCAAGCCTAGCTCCTCAACTAGCTTGTATTCATTTCTCTTGTATTTATGTCCATGTTCCCTCACCTGGTGGAATATAAGCTCCTTGAGGGCAGGGATTGTTTCCATTCTGTCTTTATATCCTCAGTACCTAGCACAATTCCTGACACATGGTAGGTGCTTAGTAAGTAAACTGGAGATGTTTTGAGAAGGCCAAACTCTGGCAACTAGATGAAAAGATCTGTAAAATCTCTTCAAATTCTACAAACCTGTAATCCTATGAATGTGGTGGTTTCAGTGGCCCTGACGATGGAAACAAACTGCTAAAGACATGCTGGGAAATCTTTCTCTTTTCATGTTTATTTGTCATCCTCTTTTCAGTTACATTTAGAATGCTCTCAGGATGATCTGGCTTAGCTGAGTCTCACACAAAGATTTTTTTTTTCCAGCAAGCTGATTTTCATCTCCAATGTTTTAAATTGTTTTGTGGATACTACACTAGTTGTAATCTTTTATCACCCTTCCCTATAATATTTTGTCTATGACTTTACATTCTTAACTGGTACTGGGTTGGGATTTCATAGGTTCTGCCTGGCAAGGAGACTGAGTGCTTGCTGGAAAAGCTTCCGAGCTCTTGTGGTGGGGGTGACTTCTGTCAATCAATTAAACTGCTCTTAAGAAAAAATGGAGGGCAGCTAGGTGGCACAGTGGATAGAGAACCAGCCCTGAAGTCAGAAGGACCTGAGTTCAAATCTGACCACAGACACTTGACACTTACTAGTTGTGTGACCCTTGGCAAGTCACTTAACCCCGATTGCCTCACCAAAAAGCAAAAAAAAAAAAAGTGATAATGAGAATCAATGTTTTGACCTTCCTCTATTTCATCAATAGCTTGTTTAAGTAGATTGGATTAGAATTGCACAAAAACTGCATTCTCATCTTTATCATTTAATTTGCTGTCAATTTTAACTTTTGCTCTATTTGTTAACCTGATCACACAGAGATGGCTGATTTTAAAATGATTCCCACACTGGTTAGTTGTCATTTCCTGTCTAAATATAGTCATTCCTTTCCTGTGCTGCTGTGTGATCTTCCCTATATTTAACACTTTTGGACACTTCTTGAAGAAAATATTAAGGCAGTACATATCTCACACTTCTGAGGAGTCTAGAAGCATCTGACCTCTATCATTTCTTGATCCTGAAACATATTTTCTAACATATTCTTTGCTATCCTCTCCTTCATCTGTTTTCACACTGAAGTGACTAGACCTTTTTGAAGAACCACTGGAGGATTTGAAAGGAAAGTTATTAGTTGAAAGGGCAGCTGATTGCTATGATTTGTGTAGCCAGGGTGAATTTTACACTCATCTCTGTTGGCCCAGTCAGACTCTTCCAAAATAGGGGCCTGTGAAAGCAAGCTATGTAATAGATCCACTGAGAAAAAGAATCTGATGCTGCCTAGCTAAGTAAACTAAGTTGGCTAAGCATTTAAAACCAAACCTTTCACAACCTGATTCCAACCTACCCTTCCAGATTTAGTAAACATTATTCACTGTCACTTCTCTTCAGTCCAGCCAAACTGACCTTCTTGCTGTTCCTCAACACATTCCACCTCATCTTAAAATCCCCAGCTTCCTTCAAAGCTCAGTTCAAATGCCACCTCCTAGAGGCTTTCCTGCCCACCTGAGCTTCACTCTCTAAATTACTTCATAGTATATGTTGTATATTGAGAGATATTTATAAAATGCTTTGCAAGCTTTAAATGCTATAGAAACTCTACGTATTACATTTATATGTACACATCTCCCCTGATATAGTGTATGGTCCTTGAAGGAAAGGATGGTTTAATTTTTGTGTTTGCATTCCCACTGCACTCCCACCCTAGGGCGAGGCATGTATTACCTGCTTAATAAATGCAGGTTGATCAATTGACTGCTAGTGAATGGGTATGCTGCCAAACAGGAAAGGAGACAAAAGCAGTTTCTGAAAATCTTCAACGATTACACATTCCTGCTTAACTGGTTTGTTTGCTGTTTCCTGTGTACAACAGTCCATCTTGGGCCTCCCCTGTGTACCATGCTACCCCTCCTCTTCTGCACCCTTTGGAATTACTAGTTCCCTTTAAGGCTCAGTGAAAGTACCACGTTCTACAAAGAGTTTTGCCTGACTCCAGGTGTACTTTCTCCCCATCTCTGTCTCACCAATTATTTAATATTTAGTCACCTGGATAGAGGTGAGTAAATATGTATTACTCACATGCATATATTTCCCTAAGTGGGATGTAATGCCTTGAGGCCAGGGACTACTTTGTTTTGGGGGCTTATGTTCAGCACCTAGCACAGTGCCTGGCACATAGTAAATGCTTGGTGAATTGGGATGATTAGAATGTAATAAAATGTAAGGGACAAAAGACAGCCAGCTTGAGCATTGACATCAAGGACACAGTAAAAGACTTTGAAGAAATCCTCCAGGGCACTGAGTAGGTTGTCCTGGAGGATTTGCAAAAGCATAAGAAAAGAATCACATAGGATATGAAGGTGCAGTTGGGCTGGAGAAAGAATAGTCACACCAATGAGATCCAGCAAAATACTGAAACAAATTAGAAACTTTCTTAAAAAAATGACGTCAATTTATGGTGTTACTAAAAAGTAATATACACTTGTTCCTCCATATCGCTGAAAACAATGGATTTTATGATTTTTGTTTACTTTTGCAAGTCTGATTGGTATCCCTTAAATTTTTAATCATCATTCTTTTCATTACCGATAGTATTTTTATTTATTACCTTTTAAAAATGTTTTATTATAAAATTAACATGCAACAAATATTAGTAAGTAATTAAACCAAATCCCTAAAATTTAACTATTTACATGTTCAAAAAATGTGATCACAACCCATATACCTCTACTAAAGTCCTACTATGATGCCTCTTCATGGCCTAGGAGTGACCTGCATCCTTGAAGGCTATGTATGTGGAACAGAATGTCTGGCAGGCCTTACTAAAAGTCTGGTGACAGCCTGTATATTTGTCATCGAAGGACCACCAAGACTGGTGAGGCTCATCACTATGTTTGGCTACAGGGTGATGAACTTTTTAGCCACAATAACTTTGAAAGACTGTCTACTAACTTTATCGGGGGGGGGTGGTATTTGCATAGGCAAAGGAAATACTCATGGAGGAAATTACTGATCTCTGAAGTAGTATATGTTAACCTTGCTTTGCCTCATTTCTTATTGGTCTATCCTCCTATATTCAGTGGTCTTTATATCTGTTGTTTCTGCAGCACCATTATATCTCAACATTAAAAAGCAAGGATATAGAAAACAATTGCTGATAAGAATTATCATCTGCAGTGGCAGAAGAAATGTTGTTCAACCATCCACTGGACATAGAGTGTGTTTTCAGTTTTTCACAATTACGTATAAAGCAGCTATGAATATTTTTGTGCAAATATGGCCTTTTTTCTTGCTAATAACAGCTTTAGGATACAGTATGTGCAACTGAATTGGTGGCTCAAAGGATATGATTAGATTAGGGATTCTCATTATACATTACTATGTTGCTCCATTTGCCCCATTCTACAGTTCCAATGACAATGTGAAAAATTACCAGTTTTCTCAACATTGCTAGCACTGAATGGTATCAACTTTTTGCTGTTTTTGTCAATTTCATCACCTGGGATACTAAGAAATTAAGTGATTTGCCCCTGAATCACACAGTCAGAACATCAGATACGGCTCTTTAACCCAGAGCTTGCTGATTTGATTCGTATGCCATGGCAGGCAATGCTCTAAGACTGCAAGTTGCAAAGCAGGTGCTGACTGGCCCCCTACCCAGAAGAAATCATAGATTTCGTGCAAAAAGAAATCCCCTTTTTTACTGCCTCTTTACCTAAGCATCCTCTACCATCACATTTATAGCTACCAAAACGCAGTTCCTCATTTTCTTATGTCTGGATATTTATAATACTTAACAGGCTGAGGCTACTTTTGACCAGTGGGTACTTCAGCCAGAAAATTCCTTAAAATTAAGGTTTAAGATTCTTTACAACAAATTAATGGTTTCTTTGAAAGTATCCAAAAACCTAATTTAACATAATTGTTGTTATGTAAACACCAATCTCTGCATAACAAAAATGGCTTTTTTATAGATGATGCCAGTTCACACACACAGTCTTTCATAGAAAAATTCTAGTACAACTAACCAATCTGGACAATGCTACGAGGTTCACTGTAATGAGACTCAGAGACTTGACCTTTGCTACTTAATAATAGATGATAGGGAGAAGTATCTTCCTGCTTCAGCACAAGGAAAAAGCTCTTCTACTTACACAGTGGACTCTGTTTCTTGGTTCAATGTCATTTCATGTGAGGCTGAAGCAACTGACGGAGACCTAGGATACAATCCATAACCTTCACAGGGAGTGACTATCTGCTTTCCCAGAATCCTTCAGATTAAAGAAACAGATGAAATAATTCACTCAAGGTTACATAATCAGTAATACCACCAAGGTATCAAAATACAAGCATTTTTGTTAAAATACTTTTCTGTTTTTAAGATCAAATGTCTATCAGATTCTGCTCCTTCCCCTTAATACCTGAGGTGAGGAAAAGTGGACGTCCACTGTTGGCACTCTTCTTGCAGACCCTTTGTAAGGATGCTCGACTTTTGTTCATATAAAAGCTCATCAATGACTGTGAACATCAACTGAACTTTTTCGGTGGCATTTCGGTCAAGTTCCTAAAAATAAATATTCAGAAAAAATCATTTCCAGATAGGCTTGAGATCTGTTAAAGTCATAAAAAAATCATTTAAATATTTGTTCAATCCGAAAAACTACCAAGTTTCCACAGGAGATAAGTTAAATTATTGGAAAGTTTCAGCATATACATAAATTACTCAAATGACTTCTATTGTTGTAAACATAATTTATACTGAAGTCTTTCTTAATTTCACTGAGTGAAGAATTACACCAGGATGTGGAAAAAAACCCTAAGACTTATCCACATTTCAAATTTTAGCCCTCAGATGGAAATAAGCACAAGGGAAAAAACATTAATTCTACCTACTCCTCTGCCACACATATAGAAAACTTTTGCTGTTCGGACATTTTCAGTCATGTTTAATTCTTTGTGACCCCATTTGGGGTTTTCTTGGCAAAGATACTGGAGTGATTTGCTATTTCCTTTTAGAGGCCATTTTACAGATAAGGAAAGTGAAGCAAACAGGGTGAAGTGACTTGCCTAGGGTCACACAGTTAGTACATGTCTGAGGCTAGATTTGAATTCAGAAGAGTTTTCTTGACTAGAGACCCAGTGGCCTGCCCACCTCCATCACCCAGTTGCCCATACAGAAAACTACAACTCTTCAAATTGAAATTTTATTAAAGTTTATGCACTATGCTAGAGGAAGATAAAATATACCAGAGGAAGATAAAAGAAAGAATATAACCCCTGCTGGGGGTGAATGAGATGATTTACTGAATGATGGAGAGAGGCATAACTATTCAAATTTTACTTTACTGTTATTTTCTTTGCCATAGAGGATGATCTTTGGAAAGTATAAGAATAAAATTAATTAACAGGGAGATGAAATCCAAGATAAGTGAAAAAATAATAATTGATCAGCTATTTGCCCTCGATGTATTCAAATGACCAATTCTGAATAAATGACATCCCAGGGTATTAAAAGAACTGCTGGTGGTGACCACTGAGTTACTGTTCATTATATCTGACCAATTATAAAGAGCTGGAGGGCTGTTGCAGGACCAGAAAAGAGCAAGTGATACCCCAATTTTTTTTAAAAGGGAAGAGGGCACAGTCTGAAGCTTCCAAGTCCATTAGTCTGGCTTTGGTTCCTGGCAAAATTCTACAATGCATTGTTAAAGATGTGGTTTGTTAGCATCTAGAAAAAGATGACCACTAAGAGCCAGCATGACTTCATTAAGAATAGGTAATGCCTAATTTCCTTCTTGATAAACTTATTAATTAGCAGATGAAGGGAATATTGTATACCTGCTATAACTAGATTTCAGGTAGCATTTGACCAAGTTTCTCTTATTATCCTTCTCAATAAGATGAAGTGTTAGGGGCTAGATGACAGTATAGTTACTTAGATCTAGACCTCAAATAAAGCCATGAATAGATTACTATGTCCAGTGGAGTGAACCAGTGATCTGACCTCGGTTCTGAGTTAGTTAATACTTTTATCAATGATTCGGATAAAGGTATGTAGATGGCAAATTTACAGATAACACAAAGCTGGTCACATAAATAACATGTTGGATGAGATTCAGGATCCAAAAGTACCTAGACGGGCCAAACAACAGGCTAAATCTAATAACACATTTTAAAAGGACAAATATTGATATGATCCAATACTTGGGTTCAAAAACATCAACATTACAAGGATAAGATGGGGAGGGTAGGGTTAGATAGCAATTTGTCTGAAAAAGGTCTAGAGGTTTATTCCTCTCACTCAATGAGATTAAAAAAAAGCAAATGCCAGTCAAAAAAGTTTACATAATCACAGACTGGTTTTTGACTCAGCCTACATCTTGAGTATGGTATTCAGCTCTGGGCATAGGATTTAACATGCTGGAACACATTCAGAAGCAGGCAACCAAGATGGTGAGGGGAAAAATGAAACCCTTCAGGCTGAATTTGCCTTGATGAATAGAAGAAAACTGAACAAAGCAATAATGGCAACAGGAAGAAGAATCCATAGACACAGATTTTCTACTAATTTGCAGACCACAATGGGAGTACTATGGGGAGTACTATATGGGCACTATAACATGGAATAGACAACGATAAGCAAGAAAACATCCAAAGGAGGATAAAAAAAAGCAGTGAAGGGCCTTGAATACATATAATTTGAGGATTGTTGAAGGACTTGAGGGTTTTTAAACAGGACCAGGAAAAGAGACAATGCAAGGGCACATGACAGCTGTCTTTAAGAATCTCAAGGGCTGGGGCAGCTAGGTGGCACAGTGGATAGAGCACTGGCCCTAGAGTTAGGAGGATTTGAGTTCAAATCCAGACTCAGACATATAATACTTCCTCGCTGTGTGACTTTGGGCAAGTCACTTAACCCCAATTGCCTCACTTAAAAAAAAACAACTATATCTTGTTTGGTCTCCATGGCCACGTCCCCCCTTCTACTCTGTATATTAAGTTCATAAGTAGCCAGTACAATAAGATTGCAAACTGTCCCAAAGACCAAAGGAACATAAATTACAAATCTTATCATATAGCAACCAAAATTCACATCCTGATAACATGTGCTGAACCAGGGGATGCCACCTAGGTGCTGCTTGAGATCTCAAACCCCTGTTCCACCCCCCACCCCCAACCCCTCCATGGTCCATTGGGGCCACGCTGCCCAGGGCTCCCACCTCAGATCCACAGTTACAGGAATGATGTTCTGTCTCTCCTCCTCCCCTCCTTTCCCCCATGCTGCCTACTTCCCTGTCCCCACACCATCTGCCTTTGTACCCCTTTTACTGCTTCTCTCTGTACCTTATTAAAGTATGACTGCAGCCCCACTCCCCACCCTCCTGCTGCCATCATGGGCTTTTCCAGCAAGTACCCAAAGAACTGGGAATACCTGCCCCTATTTCAAAATTTCATAAATTATCAATTCACCTTGAATCTGTGATTCATCTTCCATATTTATAAAAGGGTAATGCTAACTTCCTTAACTGACAGTAGATGAAAACTAAGGGTACTATGTGCTAAGCAGTATTACAAAATACTACTTTGTAAGCACAATCATATGATAATATATTTTAACATAGAAGAATCTGAAGAAATGTGGGAGGAAGGCTGGTAAATTCTGACTTTCAGCATTAGGTCCTACCCTCCAAATTATTCTACCAGACCGATTATATGTAACTCACACCATATCCCCAGGAGAAGTCTGAGCTGCCTTCAGTAGAGATCCCTGTACCCGTGTAACTCAGAAAGGCAGATGTGGAATTGCCAGTGTCAGCTGATGTAAAAGGCGATTCTTGTGTGACGTCAGATTCACTAAATCCACAATTTGAGAAGGAAAGGGGGAAAAAAAGGGAAAAATTCTCAAACATCTTTATGCTTTCGCAAAATAAACTATTCAGAAATTTGTATACAAATGTGCTCACAGATGTATAACAGGGAATTTCTAAAATCTACAATTTGCAAAGTTATAGAGCATTTTAGGGTGCCATGGCAACCAGCACTCAATATAACTATAATGTAACAATAATACATATGTAAGTGGAACTCAAATTAATATAAATAATGTTATTATTATTTTAATTTTCAAATATTATAAGTCTGCCGAAGCTCATCAGCTCTCTAAATAGTCTCACTTTTTTTTTAAACATCTGACATAAAACAATTTTATCATGAGTAAGTGAGAGCCTGGCGGAATAATACAAGAATTTAAAATACATTCTGGATAACGAACGATGTTTCAGAAAAACTATTCGGTGGCCTCTCTCAGATCACAGTCCCCTGGGTAATATTACTTAAAAATCTATTAACATTTGCAACGTGTACAAGCACCAAGTAACGGTGAAGTTTGATGGCACGAAAAACAGAGGTAAATAAAAAAAAATTAGATTTAGAAACAAGGCTTATTGGAAATAACACTGGACCCATATGTACAGAAATATTTATAGCAGTTTTTTTGTGGTGATAAAGAATTGGAAGCTGAGGGTATGCTCATCAATTGTGGAACGGCAGAACAAGTTAGAGTCTATGAATGTGATAGAATACTATTGTGCTATAAGAAATGATGAAAGGTAGTTTTGGAGAAATCTGAGAAGATTTATATGAACTGAAGCAGTTAAGTGAGCAGAACCAGTAGAACAATTTATACAGTTAACAGTATTATAAAGAAAACATCTTTAAAAGGCTTAGGATACACACAATGGCCAATCATGATTCTAGAGCACACAAGATGAAATGTGCTACCCTCTTCTGGATGGAGAGGTGAGGGAGTCAGAAAGAGACTGAGACATTTTGGGAGGCCATAGCCAATGTAAGAATTTGTTTTTGTTCAATTATACATGCTTATAAAAGGAGTTTTGCTTTTCTTGCTTTCTCATTGGAGTGGGGGGAGAGGCCAATTTCATTGAAAATTGAACAAATTGAAAAAAACATTTAATTAAAAAAATAAATTACTGAGAAAAAAAGGGGATGCAGAGTTTTATAGCCCTTGGGCACAGTTCCAAATTGCTCTCCAGAATGGCTGAATCAGTTCACAACTCCACCATTAATGTCCCAGTTTTCCCACATCCCTTTCAACATCCAACATTTTCCTTTTTTGTCGCATTAGCCAATCTGATAGGTATGAAGTGGTACCTCAGTGTTGCTTTAATTTGCATATGTCTAATCAATAGTGATTTAGAGCATTTTTGCACATGACTATAGAGCTTTGATTTCTTTCTCTGGGGGAAAAAAGTTATAGCATGTTTCTCTGATAAAGGCCCCATTTCTCAAATACATAGAGAATTGAATCAAATTTCTAAAAATACAAGTCATTCCCCAACTGATAAATGATCAAACGAATATGACCAGGCAGTTTTTAGACAAAGAACACTGAAGTTGGTGTCAAAAGATCCAAAATGACAAACACTGGAGGGGATGTGGGAAAATTAGCACACTGATGCACTGTTGGTGGGGTTGTGAACCAACCTAACCATTCTGGAAAATAATTTGGAACTATGCCCAAAAGGCTATGAAACTGCATATCCTTCGATCTAGCAATACCACTAATACATCTATATTCCAAATAGAGTTTAAAAAAAGGAAAAGAACCTATCTGTACCAAAACATTTACAGCAGCTTTTTTTTTTTTATGGTGGCAAAGAATTGGAAAATGAGGGAGTGTCCATCAATTGGGAAATGGCTGAACAACAAGTTGTAGCATGTGATTATGATGGATTATTGTGCTACAAGAAAGGATGAGCAGGACGGTTTCAGAAAAACCTGGGAAGACTTACATGAACTGATACAGGGTGAAACCAGCAGAACCAAGAGAAAAGTGTACAAAGTAACAGAAATGTTGTACGATGATCAGCTGTGAATGACTTAGCTATCTCAGCAATACAATGAACCAAGACACTTTCCAAAGACTTATGATGAAAAATGATGTCCACCTCCGGAGAAAGAAATGAGTCTGAGTGTAGATTAAAGCACACTTTTTCAACTTTATTATTTGTGTGTGTGTGTGTGCATTTTCTTTTGCAACATGGCTACTACGGAAATGTTCTGCATGACTACACATGCATAATCTATATCAAACTGCTTGCCTTCTCAACAAGATGGGTAAGGGAGGAGAAAGGGAGAGAATTGGGAACTCGAAAGTTTAAAAAATAAATGCCAAAAATTTTTGTTTACAAGTAATTGAGAAAAGAAAATGAAAACTAAATGTAAAAAAAAGGAAAGGCCATACCCTTATGTATACAGACTTTAAAAAAAGTGAACACAAGTTAGTTATAATAAACAATACAGTAAAACGCATATTTTTGTAAAAAAAAGGATTAAATGAGATGCCGTAATACATTTATACAAAGCACTCTGCAAGTATAAAGTATTATGTAAACTGTAAATATGTAATTTATTATGTTGCTAACTTCTAAACTTAACAAAACTGGCATCTGTAAAAGCTCTAAAAAAATGGTATACCTAACAATTTTACCTCTGGTAACTTGAGTCTTTTTCATGGCTGTCATTAGTAGGGGAAATTTCATCCAACTGCTCTGGAAGGGGACGATGATCAAGAGCATTTTTGACAATCCCTCTCCTACAAAGTGTAAAACAATACTATATTATTAGCTGTTTAAAAAAAAAGACATTTCTCAAGAATTTGATTATTTAAAGTTAATCATCCATTTATACATGAATGAATTTTGGGGTAAATTATGCTTGTGACTCCGTCTAAAAAGGGCTCACTCTAAATATCCCAAATGATCAAAACCTTGGCAGTTTAATATCAGATAGCTATCTAGCATGTTTCGAAGGATTATGCTATAAAATGTAATGGAGAATAACCAAAGAGGCTAAATTTGGTATCTGAAAGTCTCATGGGACTCCTTAGTCTCCAATGGTAGAGAAAAGCAAGCAAATTAAGACAATTAGCCCCTAAATCAGACAAAAGCACGTTGACAGTGCTTATAAAGTACCATCTTTTGTATATAAAGATCAAGCTACAGTAAGTAACTTGCTTTTAATTGTTTTTTCAGCAGTAAGGAATGAGTTTGCATCTAAACTCTTCTCAAAAAGTACCTCTTATGACAACATTATGAACTGAAAAACAGCTAGCCAGATTTTTAGGCACTGAATTCTTGGCTCTGAAACAGAGACTCTGCTTTTGCTAGTTTCATACTAAGTGGCACTCAGTGATTCACAACTGTACAGCATCACCAGGAAGATCCTGGTACCGGAAAGGTTGTTTTTTTGTGTCAGGGAGCAGCTTAGAATTATGGAAACTACTGCAGAATTGACCAAATGTACTGCAATCCTATCTTACTCTGTTCATGGGACCTACGTAACTTTATGCAGTGTCTATGCAAAACATATCTATCAATAGACTGCAGATTCATTTCAAGCATCTGGGCTACATGTGTGTATATAAAATCATTTCCTTAGTGTTTCCGTTCTTGACAGACCTTTCTCTTCCAAATGGCTGTTCATGAGTATTCTGGGGCTTGATATCACCAGTATTATGTCAGACACAAACAAGAGTACTTTGAGGACATTTGTATCTCTAGGGAATCCCTCTATAATCCTTTGGACTCTGTACAGTACATTTTCCATGACAGTGCAAAACACCTTTGCTTGCTGATCAGAGGTTCAATGAACAAATGTATCTTTTTAGTTGCATCTACTAAGGATCTTAACACATGCAAGATAGAAATCTTTTTGGAGAAGTATCAGCAAGGCTCTGCCTTACTCCAGCCAAGTCAAATGACTACTTTTTCTCTCCAGAATGTGAAGATGTGGTCCAGAAACACAATGGGTCTGAGTGAGTTACAGTATATTGTTATTAACAACTTTCTTCAAAAAAGTGGAGTAGACATCAAAGAAATGTATTTTTGTAAAAGGAAGTAGGGTCTAACAAGGAGCAAGAAAAGGTTAACAGAAGTCCAGCCCTGACATCTGTACTGATAGCCATGAAATGTTAAAAAGAAAAAACCTGGCCGTCCCACATGCCAGATTGTACTTCCTCCTTATTTCGACCTTAGTAGACTCCTTTTCAAATGCAAACATCATCTGCTGCATGAAACCTTTCTTGACTTTTCTCAACTGCTAGTTCCTTTGTGTACTTTTGTATTTATTAATTTTATATTTATGCTTTGTATATTTATCTAGGTGTTTGGCATTTACCCCCGTTAGAATGTAAGCTTCGTGCAACTATTTTATTTTTATTTATTTTATTCTTTGCTTTTGTGCTCCCAGGACCTCAAGACAATGTCTGCTGACTGATCAAAGTACCAAAATAAGCACTAAGTGCATTTTACAGGAATTGAACTCAAAACCCTTGTCTCATTAAAAGCAGCTGACCTCACCAGGCGACATGACCTCCCTCTACAATTAGCACGGTAACTTCTTTGCTTGGTTCATTTTCCAGTAGTTCCCAGACTTAAGAGGAATAAAGCTTCTTGGGCCTGCAATTCTGGTCTACTGGCTAAGGAGGGGAATCTCTATAGCCCCTCTCCGAAGCGGCCCGCATTCAAGCGCCCAGGAGAGACTATTTTGGAAGCAAAGGCAGCGCTGCCAAGGCCGCAGACGGCCGAGGGGCCCGCGAGCGTGGGCACAGCAAGGAGGGCTTCTCGGGGCATCCGGGGCTGCCTTGGAAGCCCGTGCACGGCCACACTTTGGGACCCCCTCGCAAGGAGGCGCGGCCGGGCTCCGCTCTCCTCCCCGCCCCGAGGGCGCATGCTCCGCTCTCAGCTCCGCTCTCAGCGCCGCCCGGGACCGCGGGCCCCGCTCCCACTCCGGGCCGCGCCGGCGGGAAGGCACTCACAGCTCCACGCTCTGCGGCGCCGACTTCCGGGTGTATCTGGAGATCATCTTCCTCCTCCTCCTCCTCGGCCGCCACCACGGAGGGGAATCCGGGGTGGGAGCTTCCGGGCCTGGCCCTCGCGTCGGCGCGAGCTCCGGCTCGGGCTCCGCCCCGGCTCCCTCCCGCCACTCTCAGGCCCCGTCCCGCCCCGTCGCCTTGACTACCGACTGCAGCCTACGCCCGCTCCCTCCCCGGCCCCGCCTTTCCCCGCCAGCCGGAGGTGACGGCGTGCGGCGCGCTGCAGTGACGTCAGCGGAGCGCAGCGGCGACCCCGCTACTCCTCTTCCCTCAGCTACTATCACCTCCCTGGCGGGCCCCGGACACCTTGGATGCTGGCGGCTGCCTGAGCTGAGTGCGTGCGGGCGGCGGGCGGGTGGCGCGAAATGGCAGCCGCGCTGCGGGGCACATGGCCTCGCCTCGGCCGGCCCGAGTGTGGGGCTCAGCCCCTCCCGAAGCGCCGGCCCCCCCCCGTGGCCGGGAGGCCCCTGGTCCGGGTGACAGCAGGAATGACCCTCCTTCTCGTAGCGCTTTGTCCCCGGAGCGCCCTGTCCTCCCGCCCGACGTGGGCGGCCGGCATTGCAACTACCCCCGTTCCTGTGCCCATTTTGCCGTTGAGGACCGCGAAGCAGGATGCGCGCATCCTCCTTGGGGGGGGGAGCCCTCTGACGTCAGCCCGTGCTGGGGATGCCACCCCGAATATCCTCCTTTCTTAGAATAACCCAGGCTGCGTACTTTATCCAAAAAAATCTTCCAGACCTCTTTGGAAACTCCTCTGCTTTCTGTGTGTACCACCACCAAGTGGTGAGGAGCTTCGTAAGTTTACTGTGAAGTAATACCTCCTTTATTTAGCTTAATCTTACCTCCTTCAGCCTTAATGGCTAAAGGCTTGTCAAGCCTTGCTTTAAAGAAAAAAGATGAGTCTGTCTTCTCTTATGTAGACGATTGCGGGGAATTTTGTTTTCAAAATTGGCTGGACAGAGGCCTTCTCTGCTGTGCGATAGAATAATAGCATTTGTAAAGAGCTTTAAGGTTTCTAAAGTGCTTTACCAATATCTCATTTTATCCCCATATGTATTTAAACACATATATTTATGTATATATACAATATCGTGAGAAATAGATATTGTTATTATTCCTATTTTACTGAGGCAGAAACTGAAGCACATAGCTGTTAAATGATTTGCTTAGGATCATACAGCTAGTAATACTGCTTGAGGTAAGATTTGAACTCAGATGCAGCATTCTGTCCTCTGCTCCATGTAAATGATTTGCTTAGGATCATACAGCTAGTAATACTGCTTGAGGTAAGATTTGAACTCAGATGCAGCATTCTGTCCTCTGCTCCATGTAGCTGCATCTATTTAAAGGGGAGGGTGGAGGTGTACAGCATAAGCAAACTCAGAGAAATTAAGTAATTTCTCCAAGGTTGCATGGGTAACCTGCAATTCAAACCCAGGTCCTCAAATAACATATCTGTTGCAGTTTTTCATTTTCACCATACCTCTCCAAGTGTAATTCATCAAAGATTTATTCAGTACTTATTACACGCAAGACCCTGAAAGGGCTGCAGAAATCAGGGGGAAAAAAGTCTCTCAACGTTCTGTAAGCACTTTAAAGGAAGGAACCACATTCTCCAGTACTTGTTACTTGTATTTGACTTACATTTTTGTGGAAGTTAAGATATATACAGATATTATACAAAGAGGCCAAAAATATGTAGAGGAGATACAAGGTGAAATGAGAATTCAGAGTCTGGGGACAGCTAGGTGGTACAGTGGATAGAGCACTGGCCCTGAAGTCAGGAGGACCTGAGTTCAAATTCTGGCCTCAGACCAAACACTTGACACTTAACTAGCTGTGTGACCCTGGGCAAGTTTGGAGTCAGAAAGAATATCTAGCTGAGAATATCAGAGGAGATTGCGTGAAGTATGTGACATTTAAGCTGTACTTTGAAAATATGTCATGAGGATTTTAGGAAATGGGGATAAGAGTTACAAAGTAGTTTGTGTGATTCATTGATTCATTTTATTTCAACTTTGAAATACAGTTTTCCAAGAACAAGAATGGAGGGGAACACGAAGCTGTCAGTGGCAGAAGATGCAGTGGAATATCATCTGTTTTTGTTGCCAGAAGAACCAAGAGACCCAGAGAAACGCAAAGAGGTCCTTCAGAAGTATATCACAGCAATAATGACCCAGTATGCACCTCTGCTGGTTTCCTATATCTGGCAAAATCAGCCTTTTAATCTCAGATACAAACCTGCTAAAGGTAAAGATCTATTTCTCATTTTGATGCATTTGATTTTTACATGGCATTCTTATAAGAGGGATGATCTTTCTCCTCTGGATTTTCATTATACTTCTCCCTCTTGTTTCTTTGTCTGGTTGCTCCTTCTCAGTCCCCCTTTCTGAATCATCATCTTTGTACCTCCCCCTAATTGAGCATACCCCAAAGCTTTGTCATTAGCTTTCTTCTCTCCTCTTTGTACAAATTCTTGTTCAATTATATCATTCATTCTTGAGGATTCATTGATCATTTCTACTGTTAACTGGACCAAGCCAGCCTCTAAGAATGTCCAGAGCCAAACGGCAAGCTAGAGACAGGAGAGCCAGGAATCAAACAGAAGTTTAATTTCAAAGTGGGGGAAACAGCTCGCAAGCAAGGACACGTGCCCAGGGTCCCCAAGGCACTGTGGGGACATCTCAGTACTTTTACCAATGGCTGTGCAGTGAGCTGTAGCCCAGACAGTGAGGGTAACGGCAACAATGAGACAAGTTTGATTCATAATAGAACTTAATGACTAGAACATGGGTGTGTGTCTGAGCTCAGAGAACACCTGGTGCTGGTCAGAGCAGTGCAACAGTTAGGTGATTTTTGCCAGCGGGTACGGTCATCCAGAGGGTGAGCACAAAAGTTTGTTGTTATGTCAAGCGCAGGGCACAGGCAGTCTCCTAATATCATGACACTATACAGATGAATCCCAGATATCAATGGCTGGCCCTAGTTTCTCTCCTGAGCTCCAGTTACCAACTTATTAGACATTTTCCACTGTATTTTTGTCTAATTCAACATGTCCAGAACAGAAGCTATAACCTTTCCCCTAAACCCTTCTTTCCTAACTTCTCTCTAAGGTACCACCATCCTTCTGGTCACCCAGATTCATACCTTTCCACTCATCCTAAATACCTTCACTTTCACTCCTCTGCCTCCATAGCCAATCAGTTGGCAAATGTTGTTCATTGTGCCTCTTTAACATTTCTCATGTCAAGTCCCTTCTCTTCATCTACTCCCTAGCTCCACAGTTCAGGGGCTCTTTACCTTTCACACAAACTATTTCAGTAGCTTCTTCTTTGGTCACCCTACATCCAGTCTCATCCCCCTCCCGGCTATCGTCCCCATGCCTTCCAAAGGGATATTCCTAAAGCATGAGTCTGATGGTGTCTCTCTCCTGCTCCAGAAGCTCATGGGGCTCCCTCTTGCCTTTGGGATAAAATACGAACTCTTCTGTCTAGCATTTAGAACCCTTCCCAGATTTGGCTCAGTCCTCTTTCAGGAGGAATATACATTTCTCTCCCTCACCCACTGTACTCTAGCCAGACCACCCGACTTACTGTTTTTTGTAAATGATGTATCTCCCACCTCTGTACCTTTGTCCAGGTTGTACTCCATACCTAGAATACTATCCCTTCTTACCTCTGCCTCTTGGAACTCCTAGCTTTCTTTATGGCTCAACTGAAAAACCTCTCCGTATGGGAGGCCTTTCCTGACTTCCCCAATTGTTAGTGATAATGCCCCAAACTTTGTATCTAGTTGTGTATTTTTAACAGTTTAACTTGTCTGTGTATATATTGTCCCCACTCCTTCTCCCCTGAGGAATAGAAGTTCTTTAAGGTCAGAGACCTTTTATTTGTTTTATGTCAACTCTGAACCCAGTGCTTAGGACATAGAAAGTACTTCATAAGTGCTTGTGGATTTATTGATTGGGCATCATCAGGTGTGTGTTTCACCTACCTCAGCTTTTCACATAACCAGAGTTTACTCTTTTGTTCCCTTAGTATTTTTTTTAATGAAAATATTTCTAAAGTGGATTACAGACTTCTTTGTCTTAGTCAATAAGAATGTGCCAAACATTCATCTACTATGGGTATTTTGCCATCTGACCTTTCACCTGCATGTCTCTCCATATCCCTTTCCCTTTGGCTCTGCAGACCATCCTGTCAGTACTGTCTTACCTCCATTTCTTTTGGATGATTACGGTATGGTTTCACTCATTCTTCTAGTGAGTCCCCAGATCAAAACTACCTTTTGTATAGTCTTCCTGTATTGAACTATAAGCTCCTTGAGGGCAGGGACTGTCTCACTTCTAATTGGTATTCTCAGTCCTGAAGAGTGCGGGCATATGTCAGGCAGGCACTTACAGTGTTTTCATTCATTCAGTCATTCAGGTCATCAATGTCCTTGCACTGTGTTGATGCCCTTAGAAACCCTGGGAGGGGTTTGACCCACAATAGCCATGGCTTTAATGACATAACATTGGCATTCTCCTCTTCTGCTGTTCTCCTTCACTTCTTTCTGCTTTCAGTGTTTCTAACCTGCCGCCTTATTTTGCACAGCATTGGGTGAAGGCTTATAGTTAGCTTGGCTTCTCTGGTGACAGAGCCAGTACTCAGGTCTGTTCCTTTACTTCCTCAGTCACTGTTTGAGGCCCTTGAAGCTGCAGAAGTCAGACCTGCATAAGTGGTCCATTATACTGTGATATTTGGCAGTATTGCAACGTATGATTGATTAAAACGACTCACTGACTGATAGCAGACATTCAGTTCAGTTTGGCTTTTCACTTTCTGTTTTGACTCTCCTTATGTATATATTTGATTTTGTAGAAATATCTACTATGTATATACATACATGTATATGTATGTACACACATACATATATGCATACATACATACATTCATACATACAATTAGCTGGAGCATTTCCTATCCTGCTGTGTTTGTATTGATGAATTGGTTTAACTGTTTAAAAAAACTCTTGGTTTTCTCTTGTTTTTAGGCAGCATTCCTGCTCATATTGTTGGTGTAACTAAATTTGGGGATAACATTGAAGATGAGTGGTTTATTGTTTATCTAATAAAGCAGATTACGAAGAAGTTTCCGGAGTTGGTAGCAAGGTACTACAATTACTTCTAGAAATACTAAAAATGTCATTATTGTAATTGAGAGAATGACTTTATATTATATTTATTCAGTCCATTGCAAAGTAGATTTAAAAATTATATTGGAAAGACGTTTTGAAGTACTTTCTATAGTTTAAGTTTTTTCTTGTGGAAGATTAAAATGTATTCTAGTTAAATTCTATTTCCCCCAAAGCCCAAACAAAACCAGTTGTATTTCTCACAAGTTTCTTTAACTGGTTCTTGGCCATGCTTTTGTTTTTTCCTTCAAGAAATAATATAGCAAAAGCAATTTGAAGTAAAACCAGTGGATAACCCATGCAGAAAGCAAGATGGGTAAATACTAAAGCTCAAAAATGCTCAATTCTGGTTCATATTTCCTTTTAAAAACCAAACTATGACAGTTGTCCCAAATACTTCCAATGGGAGGGGAGCTTATCATTTGACTTTTGTTTTGTTCTTTTGATTTTTTGAAGTCAGCTCTGCAGTTAAGATCCTTTTCAGTCAACCTTCCGCCCACCAAAAAGAGAAAAAGAAAAATCCCAAATATGAATAGAATATCTTCTTAAAGAACCTTTTTCTGTTTCTTTTAAAGCATCAGTAGTGTATTTTTGCTATACAAAGGATGTTGGTTGTTCTTGATATAGGATAATGAGCTTCATTAAAGCTTGTATGTCCAGTGATGGGAAAAATTAGAAGTAAAACATCCCTCTTTAAATGCCTTTAAATCTTAATCATCTGTAGCGTTTTATATAACTTATAAATATTGAGAAGGAAATGTATTAGTGGTGGGAAATATATTTTCATTACTAAAATACTGTATGTAAAATGCAAACCCTAAAAGTGCTATATCAGTTTTACCTATTTAGTGTTGTTTTTTGCCACAAAAGTGAATTTGATTAATACTCATCTTCATGAGCAAGACTGACATTTCCTTTGAAATAGGATTGAAGACAGTGATGGTGAATTCTTGCTAATAGAAGCTGCTGAATTTCTCCCTAAATGGTTGGATCCTGATAATAGCACCAACAGAGTAAGTCCACCTCACTGCTGCAAATGGACAGGGAAGAGATAGGGGTTTCTTGGAGCGGGCAACATATTTACAGGATGTCAGCATAAAGGGTGCTTCTTTTCTTTGCATCACTTCCATGTCATTTTACCAGGTCTTTTTTCACTGTGGAGAGCTATGCATTATTCCAGTACCACGGAAAGCTGGGGAAGTATCCTGGTTACCTCCCACACCTCCCACAATCAGTCAGGCACTGTCAGTCATCACCAAGCACTCTGAAAAAATCATCGCCTCAGAATCTATCCAGGCGGCAGTAAACAGGCGAATCAGAGGGTAAGAAAACAGACTTCTTCAGGTTACAAAAATGTCATTAGAGCAGCCTGAACCATAATTGGTAATGGGATTTCTCTCACTGATTTTCTTTTGAATTCCTGCCTTTTCTTGACTAGTGTTAGAATGACAGTGTCTTTAAGATAAAGGAAATAATGCTACATCATTTAAGTCTTTAAAAATATTATTACACCACAGAAATACTAATAAAAATAAGCAAACCACATGCGACATACATTTCCAAGTAAAACCTTAAAATTTACACTGTTTATCTTTTGATTAGAAGAGGTAGCATAGTAAAGTGAATAAAGTGCCAACTCTGGAGGCTGTGTGACCCTGGGCAAGTCACTTACTCTCTCAGGCAACTGTAAGGATGTACATATAGGCAAGTAAATGTTTCTACCCTGAAGGTGCCTAATATGAGGAAACAACAGATCCTGCCTTAAAGGAAAAAAAGTACTACAACATATGTTTTGATAAATTAAAACAAAAAAGTATTCAGATATGTTTGTATAATTATAGACATGTTATCTTTTTTTTATACATAGCTGTAATCAGTGGATATGCTGTTCTTATTCTCCAAATCTTAGTTTACATCTTTTCATATAAGTCTTTCTAGAATTCCTTGTATCTTTCACATCTGTTGTTTTTAATGGGTCCACAATATTCCATTAGATGAGTGTACCATCATTTGTTCAGTCATTCCCCCAATTGTTTAACATCGAAGATATTTCTAATTAGGTGCTTTGTATTAGTGAACCCCATTTCATAGAGAAAGAAAGGCAAAAAGAGGTTAGGTTACCTACCTGCCCAGTACCACACATCTGGTAAAATCCAGAGTTGAGATTTCATCCTAGGGCTTTTCCTGACTCGATATTCAGTGCCCTTTTCACACCACAGTCACTGAATTTCACCACATAATCATCACACCCTGTTTTGTTGGGGGTGTTTTTGGTCCAAAAATTGGTTTATAACCTTTCATCATGTAATCGTTGCATGGTATAATTGTGCTCATCACTCTGCTTAAAAGGTAAACAGAGCAGCAGTGTATTCACCAATGGCATATGGATACACATTTATCTCTTGTGCATCGTGAGCTGAGCCATAAGCCTAGAATTCTTGCATTGTCAGTATTCAATTTTAATGCATAGTCACAAGTATTCCATGAATCCTGATCTTGCACCAAAGACAGTTTAGTAAGAAATGATTTTTAAGTAATACTGGCACAAATTAAAAAAAAAACTTCCCATAATGATCGCACCCCACGTTTTGCAAAAATTGGCATAAAATGTGCCACAATTATGCAGTGAAATACGGCACATTAGTGGGTGAAGGTGGAGAGTATCATGATCTCACTCTATCTGCAGCTTGCCCTCTGAGTAATTAGTTCTCTTTATAGCTTAGGCTCTAGGTTCCTTGTATGACTATATTTTGGAGGTTTGGAAAAGTCTCCAGTGATTTTCTTGAGTTTTAAATATTTTGACTTTCCTTGTCATCTCCCCTTTCTCGCTTCCAGTTTTAAAGTCTTATAACCGTAAATTCAACTTACTAAGGTTCTTTTTTCTTATAAGTTGAGAAACTAATAGGGCTTCTGTATTGTCATTGTCTTTTATACAATGCTATTGACTTTAATTATTTTTTTCACCTATTTAATAATTTTCAGTTTCCATGCAGACTGATATCATTAAATTGTAGTTTCATTACTTGTATATAATATTGAATTTTGAAATCAGTTGTGAATTGAATTGTGACCTAAAATTCAGTTGAATCTTAAATTTGTGATTCAGCACGTCATGGGTCACAAAGAAAACAAGAATACATTTAGAAATGCATTTGTGGATGGTTTCTTTAAAAGTGGGGACCCTTGGAGATAAATTAGACTTTATATGTGGTTTTAGTTTGACAGAGAAACAATTGAGTCAGTGTTTACTGAGTATTTTGTGCTTTTTATTATTTAAGTAATAGCAGTCATAAAATTTTTTATCTTGAGTTCAGTGTATTTTCTCCAATTTTGTCTTAGCAAAAAGCATTTTTTTTGTTGCGTCTGAGTGCCTTCATTTATTTATTTATTTTTTTTTTGGCTAGGCAGTGGGGTTAAGTGACTTGCCCAGGGTCACACAGCTGGTAAGTGTTATGTGTCTGAGGTCACATTTGAACTCAGGTCCTCCTGAATCCAGGGCTGGTACTCTATCCACTGCGCCACCTAGCTGTCCCCTGAGTGCCTTTAAACAAACACATAAGCAATAAATGGTCCCTTAAGGTCCCTCACTCTTCTCCCCTTCTATTCCTTCACTTTTCTTCCCCTTTCTTCTTGGTCCTTCAGAGCCTGTCTCTCTCTCTCTCTCCCTCTCTCTCTCTATATATATATAGAGAGAGAGAGGGAGAGAGAGAGAGAGATAGATACAGATATATGGGGGGGGGTATCTGGCTCTTTTCCTTCTCCTTAAGATCATCAATCCAGAAGTAAACCATGATCTGGGGATTCTTAACAATGTTGCTACCCGTCATAGGTACCCAGAAAAGATCCAAACATCCCTTCATCGAGCTCACTGCTTCCTCCCAGCTGCTGCTGTGGCCATTTTGAAGCAGCGTCCTCAGCTGATAGCAGCAGCTGTCCAGGCCTTTTACTTACGGGATCCTATCGACCTTCGAGCCTGCCGAACTTTCAAAATGTTCTTGCCAGAAACACGTGTAATGACTTCGGTAAGACACTGCTCTGTCTTTTATTTTCTCTCCTTTGGTGGACTGGAATTCTGTCATTAAGTTTTTGTAAGTAATAGTTGATTTACTCTTAGTGAGCCCCCTATTTGTCTTTCTCTCCCAAAATAAGGAACTCATTTTCAGGGACTCTGTGTAATTGTCAGCATAAATTATTCTCATCTCTTCTGTAGAATATAGGATTATCTTTCACCCTGCCTCAAAGCTGTCATTCAATAAGACTGATGCTAAGGACCACATCAGAGAGCTGAAAACAAGGCAGGGGAGTAGATGGCACTTTTATGTGTTTTACCTCAAATTGTGTAAGAAAGTCTTTATTTTAACCGTATAAAATAGTGTACTGACTTTCTCCCCACAGGAAACTGTGATTAATATATTTGTTTTTGTTTTCATTCATGCAGGTCATGTTCACAAAGTGTTTGTATGCACAGCTGGTACAACAGAGGTTTGTGCCAGACCGCCGAAGTGGGTACGCTCTGCCTCCCCAATCCCACCCCCAGTACCGAGCGCATGAACTGGGCATGAAACTGGTAATGTTTATGGGAATTATTCTTTATTTTCCTTCTTTAAGTACAGGATAATTCTTAAAATCTAATATTTCTTTATCATATGTCTGAGATCGTGCCTAATTTATCAGTAATTTTTCTTCAGGATCCTTTTTGCAGATCTCTACTAAAGAGACTCATTTGATCAGAAATGCATTGTTTTTCCTTCCCCAGTGTCCTTTTCTAGTGTTCAGATGTGCATGTACTCAGAGGCAAGTCTGCTTTTCCTGCTCTAAATGAGCACAGTAATAAAACTTCCTTTGTCTTAGATTATGTTTTTATTCCCAAGGGGATTTTTGACTTATATTTCTAGTTGAGTTGAAATTCACAACCCTGTCTTGAATGTGTTATCCAGTCAATTGCAAGAAGTGTTCTCTAAAGATATAAAGCTTTCTTTGCATTTTTGCCTTCTCTTTGTAGTTCAAAGGATGATAGGATTAAGAGCTGAAAGAGACCTTAGGGAGAAAATAGTCTACCTTCCCTTTTTTACAGATGAAAAAACTGAGACCCAAAGAGATTGAGGGCAGCTTGTCTGATATCACACAGTTAAAATATTAGAGAAGGGGCAGCTAAGTGGCACAGTGGATAGAGCACTGGCCCCGAGGTCAGGAGGACCTGAGTTCAAATCCGGCCTCAGACCAAGCACAAATCTCCATCTTTCCTTGCCACCTTTCCCTTGAACCTGTGCACATATAACAATAGCAATCACTTTTTTCACATTTTTGTTCCTGTATCTCTGATTTAGGCTCATGGCTTTGAGATTTTGTGTGCCAAAGCCAGTCCACTGCCTGACTTCAAGAAGTCTCTAATGATGAACACCTCTCTTTGGAATGGCTTTCTTGACAGTCTGAAACAGAATGACTATTTTGAGGTAAGGACAATAATGTGTTCTTTTCATATACATATCAAGAAGAAATAAAGCAACTATTTAAAATCCACTTATGCAACATTTCTGGTAAGATGTATGAAGTGGCACACAAAATAATAGTTTTATGCCATGTGATATCTGTGACCAATCTTCTGATCAACATGAATGATCTGCATTTTTCAGGGAGAAATAGAAGGCTCTGCTAAGTACCTACAGAAGCTACGCATGGCAGAGAACTACTTTCAGCAATCTGTGAATGGGCCAGAAAAGTAAGAATGTCACCTTCTGTCTGCCATTGATGTTTTATTTATCAAGAAGGACAAATAGTCAGTGAAAAAAGTAGTTTTTAAACACTTACGTGTTAGACACTGTGCAAGGTACTTGAGATACAACTATAAAAGGTAAAATATGGTCACTGTATCAGATCCGGAGGATTAGAGAGCAGGAGGAGGCAGTATGTAAACTGGTTATCTGGGATTTAAAATGGGGTTTGGGAAGAAGACAAAGAGAAATTCTGATAAATCATGGCTATCCCAGACATAAGTAAAGCTCATAAAAAAAACAGGTGGACTGTATAGGACAGAAGTGTCAATCCCACAGCCCACTGGAGTAGCATGAATCAGATTAAAATATAATTGGGAAATGTTTAACAAAATAAATAAAAATACAGGATAACATAGATCATGTTAATTTGTGGTTTTCCAAGTCAATATACTACAATTGGGGATCTGTTTCTGTTTGAGTTGGAAGACAGCATAGGGCTAGAGGAGATTGTCCAGATGGAGCTGCTGGCTACACTGTCTACTGCAGAAGTGACCCCTGCCAGATGTGGGCTGCATCTATGTATGCCCCAATAGAATGCCATGGATCTGCTGAGCTCTCTTCACCTACGAGCCACCATTTGTAAAGGATACTACCATTTTTCCAGGCACCTATGTTCAAAACCTTGGAATCATCTTTCATCTTTGATTCCTCCTTACATTGCCCCCAAATCCAATCAGTTACCAAGCTCTGTCATTTCTGCCTTGCCTAGTGCTTCTTACAGCTACCCTTTTCTTTCTTTCCCTATTGCCTTTACTTAAGTTTGGGTCCTCTGTGGTCCTCCTTCAGACTATTGAATCCCTTCTTAACTGGTCTCCTCATCTTCAGTCTTCCTTCTTCCAGTCCTTCCCATTGAACGACAAAGAGTAATCTTTTTAAAATACAAAAAAAAATTTTGATCACGTTCCTTCTAAACTGAGAGATGCCTAGTGACTCCTGCTGATTAAAGGCTGGTCTTCCTAATGTAACATTACTGTCTCTTTTCTGTGTACCTTGTATCCCAGCCAGGCTGAGCTTCGTAGGTTCCCAAGCACACCCTCCACTTTCCTACCTCTCTATTTCATCTAAAATTCCCTTCCCCCACGCTCATCACAGATACAGAGCTGGTCATCCAGCTGCCATCCAGACTGCATCTCGAGCTAAAGTGAGTGCGCAAGGTCCATAGGGAGCAGAGCTTGGACTTTAGCTGAGGTCCCCTCAACTCTTCTGTGAAGAGCCACGCTCTTCTGTGGTTGTTCTCAGCCTAGCCAAAATGCCACCTGCTACTACACGTAGGCTCTGCTGGTTTTTTAGGTGTATTTGTTTTCTCATTCTTCTGCACCCCATGCCGCTTTAGGTCCATCTCAGTTTTTTGTGTTCTTATCTTAGCTCTTTTAAATTTTAAGTTACTTGAGAGCAGGATTTGTGCTGTACTCATCTTTATCTCTCTGCATTGCTGTTTATTGAACACATAGATTAGGTAGTCAGTATTTCCTGAATAAATGACCTGATAGATAAATGTTTCATTTCATTAGGAATAGGTTAGACAGAATTCCAACAATTTTCATTGTCAGCCACATCACCTGTGTGGTTATGAATGATAATGATAGTTTTCTAACTTTCTTCCCTCACATCTGTATGTAATTCGTCATTAGAGATGGTGAGAAGAGCATTGGACTAGAAAGCAGGAGACCTGGCTTATAGGCCTGGTTCTTCCACTAAATAACCTTAGGCGAGTTAATAACCTTTCTGGGGTGGTGGTTTTCTTATCTGCTAAAATGAGGTTGTTGAACTAGATCAGGGCCTGCATGACAGATGGCCCACAGGCAGTATGTTGTACAGGTCTGACCTAGATGATCTCGTATTCTTGTTAGGTCTAAAATTCCAGGATTGCATGATTAGCCGATTTCTGGGTCTCAGGTTTTGATAATTGTACATTTTATTTTCTTACTGTAGCTTTCTTGACATAAGCCCAGGGGAAGAAATCTTAACTTTATTACAAACAGTGCCTTTTGATGTGGAGGAGCTTAAGAAAGAAGATGCTAATCTCCCCTTAGAGGATGGTAAGTGGCTATATTTGAGTGGAAAAGGTGGGAGAGATTGTAACATGTAGCCGCATCTCAGAACGGATGCTGCTTGTCATGAGATGAATGTGATATGAGTATTATTTCTTGCTTCACATGGACAGGCGATGACTTTTATTTTAAACTACTTTTCAGTTAGCTACTTTTGAATGCTTTTTTTTGAGGGAGGCGGTATTTATGTTATTTTTGAAACTCATAGAAATTGATGAGAAGGAGATATTCAGCTATAGAATTCCTTATTTGCCCTGCACTCTTAGTGTTCCAGGACTGATCTTGGGCAAGTTCTGGAAATGTTCCTACAGTGGTGCTTTCTTTTCTGTTAGATGATCACTGGCTGTATCTCTCACCGGATCAGCTGGACCAGATTCTGCAGGAAGCAGTTGGGAAGGATGAACCAAGGCTCACTCCCACTCCCAAAGGGGAGGAGGAGCAGAACTATGACCTAACCAAAGTCACAGAGAGTGTGAAGGCGTTTGTGTCCAAAGTCTCAACCCACAAAGGAGCAGAATTGCCTCGGTGTGTAATTGACTCATATCTGCTGGTCTAGGTGTGTCCCCACCTCTACCAGTCTTCCCAACACACACACACACACACACACACACACACACACACACACACACACACACACATGCAGGTGGGCAGGGGATCTAGAAGTGTTTGTCATAACCACTAGAGTTGAAGTCATAGCCTGACCATTACATTTCCTTACCACAATAAGATTTACAGAACACTTTTCACCATAAAACTGTGAGGTAGTTAATGCAAACCATGGTATTCCATGGTTATTAGGGAGAAGGAACCATTTTTGCAGTAGGAGGACCTCACCTCCACTCCCAGTTCTTTTCTTCACTACGTCTACAGCGCTGGACAAGAGAGGAAATAGAGCGCAATGTACCTGGAATTTAGAGTCAGAGGACCTCGGTTTGAGTTCTAGCTTTGCCACAGAACCATGTCTGGGTATCAGTTTCCTCATATGTAGAATAAGGGCATGGGGCTAGATGAGAGTATTAATAACTCACATTTGTATAAGGCTTTAAGATTCATAAAATAGTACCCTGATGAAAAGGCAGGGGGATTTGTCTGACACACAATTTGAGCTCAGGGATCTTTACTCCCAGTCCGTGCCTTCCTAGGCGGTTGGGTGATGGGCATCTGTTAGAAGCAAATACAGCAGGACAATAGGACCAATAAGTAACAACAGAAAGCCAGATGTCTACTGAAAAGTTGCCCAAGTGCTGCCTCAGAGTGAAATACCAGCTGTTCATAATGATGGGCAAACATGGTGGTCCAGTGTCATTATGAAGAGGTTGAATGTTCAGAATTCTCTACCTCAGAGGATAGGCTAGTACAGACTATATCAGGCATTCAGTGAGACACGGTTCCTTTTTGGTGCCTGATGGAAGGCTTCACTCATCCAGAAAATTCTCTCAGGATCATGAAATGGAATGTCCTCTCTCATGATCTACCCCTCTCCCTCTGTTGCCTGTCAGGAAGCTGTGTTGGGAATGAAAGAGTCATCTCATCTGAAATGCTTCATCTTCTGCTGTATTTTCTGAGGTTATTCCCATGTGGTCAGTCACCCACCCAGACTAGCACCTCAGTATGAAAAGGGCTGTGTCCCAGAAAAGGATTTATTGTGGCTTTTTTCTTTAAACTCTCAGGGAGCCATCTGAGGCACCTATCACCTTTGATGCAGATTCTTTCCTCAGTTACATTGACAAGATTTTGGGTGAGTCACAATATGCTTTTTTCCGATATTTACTGAAGGAGTTGTGAGGCTGATAGGGTGAGTGTTAGACTTGGGATATGTGAAATCTAGGTTCTCATCCTGGTTTTGAACTGCTGCATGTATGGGTCTGCCCTTCTGAAGGGTTTAGTGGGGAATGTGTCTGTTGTGTTTCTAAGGCTCTTTTCCCACCTCGGTTTGCCTCTGCCTTTCAGGCCTTAACCTAGCATTACTTGGCATATTTTCCTCAATTACTTGAAGACCCCCATTACCCAACTCTGTTGACTTATGTGTCAGCATTTCCATTTCATCGAGGATGTAATTGTGAAATAGCCAAGCTCAGCAAGTATAGCTCTAGTCTCTTGGCAGCATCTAGTCAATTTTGAGTAACTTGGCTCTGGGCATATGTCTCTCCTTGTTTTCCCTCTCGCCTTCCATAGGGCCAAATTCTGGCGAGTCAGACTCTGATGACTTAGGTGGTGATGATCTGGATGAGGAAGACTCTGAATGCCTAGACAGCGATGATGACGTAGACCTTGAAACTGTGGACCCTGAGGGAAAAGCCTCTACAAAAGAAACTCTGGAGAGTATCAAGTCCTTAATGGCGCAGATGGACCAGGAACTAGCACATACTAGCATTGGGAAGAGCTTCACCACCTGGAAACAAATGGTAGATATGCTTTCTTCTCTCTTTTCTGAGTCCCTCAGGAGTAAAAGGTGCAGTTTCTGGGGCATGCAACCTTAAATTCTCCCTTTTTACAAGTCATTGACTTAAGTTGGATTTCCTTTTTTACAAAGAGAAAGCTCTAGAAGAAGACCTAGAGTTGTTCTTGTTTCTCGTAATAGGTACTTAGTTCCAAGTGTTGCACAGCAAGTTCAGTAGAACCAGAACTTGGGGCAGCTAGGTGGTGCAGATAGAACACTGGCCCTGAAGTTAGGAGGACCTGAGTTCAAATTCAGCCTCAGCCCAATCACTTGACATTTACTAGCTGTGTGACCCTGGGCAAGTCGCTTAACCCCAGTTGCTTAAAAAGAAAAAAAAATAGAGCCAGAACTGACCGTGTCCATGCTGAGTGTGACAACTCTTTAAAAGAGAGGGAAAGCCAGAGAAAGTGACAGACTTGGACAGAGGCAGACCAACAGCATGCTGGTGTTCAGGGTTCTGCTGGATGGAGTTTGAAGCAAGCTAATGGTTCCCTGAGCTTTCTGGTTCTCTTGAGCTTCCTCAACAGACTATGAGGAAATCTGTTTAGTTTGTAGTAGTAGAACTTCTTGCAGATAGCATTTCAACATCTGAAACCAAGTGTGACCATTTTGAGATCAGCTTTTCTGGAAGTTAGGTCTTCCCACCACAGAGGAGAGGTTGCTTCTTCTCCCCTCTCCGTTTTGGTCTCAGGTTTCAGTTTTCTTAGCTTTTCATTGTATCAGATAATCGTCAGTCAAACTGTCTATTATAACTTTGTCTGTAAAATCTCATGGTTTTTCCCTCTTGGTCTTGATTAACTCTAGGAAAACTTGACAAAGGAACCATCTCAAACCCTTGGCAGTGATTCCGATAATGACGAAACGACAGCAGATGGTCCTGTTCTGGAACCTGTGGATGTGGATCTCAACTTGGTCTCAAATATCTTGGAATCCTATCATTCCCAAGCTGGACTGGCAGGACCTGCATCTAACCTTCTACAGAGCATGGGTGTGCAGCTCCCCGATGATGCAGATCACAGACATGCCAGCACGTAACTGAAAGATTAACGGGGTAGGCAATAAAGAGTCCATCTGAGGTAGACCTGCTGCTCTGATCACTCACTTAATCAATGCCATTAACAACTTTCACAATGGAGGTGTCCTGGGATTTCTGCATGATTTTCCTGCTCAGCCCGAGGATAAAAAAATATCTTCTGTCTGTGGAAATAGCTCCCTCCAAAGGCACTGCCTTTTGACCTTTGGTATCTGTGGCATCTGCACCTACTTCAGCCTCTCCCCTGGCTTGGCTTTGCCTCCTTCACTCAGGTGCACTCAAGTCAGTCAGTAAGCATTTGTTAAGTACCTGCCATGTACCAGGCGCTGTACTAAGCACTGAGCATACACAGAAAGGCGAAAGACAGTCCCGAATCTTGAGGAAAATCTTGTTGCCTAGTGCGTGGTTCTGTTTCCTTTTTTCTCCTAGGCTCTGGTCTGAAGCCAGCAGTCCCTCGCTGTGTACATAAGCCCTCAGCTGTGGATGTCTGTGGGAAACCTCAGCATGACCAGGGCAGATGTAGTGGAAAAGCATGGTACTGTAGGTCAAGAAATCCCAGCTTCCCTTATTGGCTGGATGACCACTAGATGGCCTCAGTTTTCTCATCTGTAAAATGAAGGGAGTTGGACTGGATGGGTTCTGAGATTCCTTCCCATGCTGCATCTGTGATCTCAAATGCTTTGCAACTTTAAAGTGCTGTGTAGCTATGGAAGATGAGTTCCCATTCTCATGGTCCAGTGACTGCCGCAGCCTGGTGTTGTTGCCTCATCTCTATCTTTATTAAACATATAGCGACCACTCAGTTCCCTGGTTGAATTCTGTCTTTTCCAATCATTCAAAGGGCGACTCTCCCCAACACTTCAGAGAAAAGTCATCTTGCAGTTCCTGGAAAATACGTAATTCTCCTGTGTTGATTGTAATTCTGTTTAACATTGGATTTCTCAGTTACCTCCTCCCTTTGCACTACTTCCCCCCTACCATCCAGTCTCTCTTCCCCAACACAGACCCTATGGTCCAGTCAGGTGACTCTAGTTTTGCCCCATACCAATCAGGTTTATTTTCTTCTCAGAACCTTTGGTAGTGTTGTGCCCCTTGCCTGAAGTGTTCCAGTCTGGCTCCGTGTTAGGAGGAGGGTGGGAAAGAGGAAAGCTCATCTGTGGGAAACCTGGAGAGACCATGTTTGCCCCTAATCTGGGCAGAGATCTCCATTTTAGTCATGAGTGATCAGAATCCAGCTTAAAAGGCAAATAGTCCAGAGCCAAAGGTATTCAGGGCTCTGAGGCCACCCAAGGAAACCAGAGAAGGCCATGTAAATGGCAGAAAAGAATTACTTCCCAGATGAGATTTACAGATAATGTTTTTGTGCACTGTGGCCATCTTCCCCTAGGCTAGGCAGCTACCAGAGACCTGTTTGCAAACCATCTGCATGACGAGTGATTCCAGGATCTTAGATAAGCCAGGGATCAGTTAAGGCAGAACTGAGTTCTCTCCCTCTGAACACTGAATTCTCCTTTCAAGCTTCTTGATGCTTTGTAAGGGCTTTTTCTTGGTTGGTATTTAGGGACTCATATCAAAGGAGTGGGGGGCCTGGAGAGTATCTGTGTCCCTCTGTTGGACTTGACACTAAGGGTGTACTCTCATTCTTGTGCAGTGAACAGAACCTTCTATATGAGCAAATGGCTAGATTAATGTAGAAGGCTCTGGGGCATTAAGTCCAGCAAAAGGAATCTTGAGTCAAGTTAGTTCTTAGAACAGACTTGAGAACATAGAGGCTCCAGAATTTGAGATGCAATTTTTCCTTTTATTTTGCCCTGCTGTGTTCTTGGTGTGGAAACTCTTGCTTTATGTATACGGAGACCTGATTTTAATTCCTGACTGTGTGACTTTGGTCAGGTGACAACTTTTCTCAGCCTCACTTTCCTAATCTGTTAAATGGAGGTAATGACAGTACCTACCTCATAGGGTTATTGTAAGGATCAGAGAGATAATATGTGCAAACCTTTGCAAACTTGAACATTTTAAAATGTTTTTTTCTTTTTAAAATTTATTTTCTTAATTAATAAGCATGTATTTTCTCTTCCTTCCACCTTCCCCTCCCCACTGAAAAAAGAAAATAACCCTTGTAATTAGTTTGTATAGTCAAGCAAAACAAATTCCTGTGTTGGCCATATTACAAAAAAAGTCTCACTGTATGTGTGTGTATATGTATGTATATATGTGTGTGTGTGTGTGTGTGTGTGTGTATTTTTTTTTTTGGTGAGGCAGTTGGGGTGAAGGGACTTGCCCAGAGTCACACAGCTAGTATTATGTCTGAGGCCAGATTTGAACTCACTTCCGCCTGACTCCAGAACCAGTGTGTCTATCTACAGCACCACCTAGCAGCCCCTGCTATAAATATTTTTGTGCAATTTTTGTCCTGTTTCCCACCCTCCCCACCCCCACTTTGTTTTTTTTAGCTCTGGGATGCAGATGTAGTAGTGGTATTGCTGGATCAAAGGGTATGCACAGTTTTGTAGCCCTTTGGGCATAATTCCAAATTGAGAGCTGTTCATTTTTTTACATCATTATAGTATAAATTATTCATCTGGTTCTGTTCATTTTGCATCAATTCATAAAGGTTTCTCTGAAACTCTCCCCTTTGTAGTTTCTTAAAGCACAGTATTATATTCATGTTTCCACAGTTTAGCTATTCTCCACTTGGTGGGTACCCCCTTGGTTTCCAATTCTTTGCTGCCACAAAAAGCTGCTATGAATATTTGTGTACATATAAGCACCTTTTCCTCTTTGATCTCTGGAGTATGTATGACTAGTGGTATTACTGGGCTAAAGGAGTATGCACAGGTTAGTAACTTTCTGAGCATAGTTCCAAAATGCTGGACCAAGTCACAGTTCCACCACCAACAGTGCATCATTGTCCTTACTATTTAGTTGTACTAAGAATTGGCCCAAAGTGGCATTCCCAGTTTCTTCTTCTGCGTCAATAAAGTGGGCTTCTCATTAAGTCTTCTTGGCAATTGATATTAGTAAAGTGCTTGGCACAATGCCTGGCACGTAGTAGGCACTATATAAATGCTAGATATTGTTAGTACTATTGTTATTTACACATGTTGGCAGTGTCCATATTTTCACCTACAGGTGGAGGTTTTATGTTTTTATGTAGTAGCTTCATAGTACTGCTCTTTTCTCCTCTTGTTTCTTCTAGTCTCTATAGTTTTTCCCCTGTCCATCTCAGTCCCTCTCTGACCTGCATCTTTGGAGAGGTAACCTGTCATAGAAAGAATGCCAGGTAAATGGTCAGTACCTCTGGATTTGAATCCAAGACCTGACACGTGTGACTCTGGGCACATCAGCCTCACACAGCTTCAGCTGTGTAAAATGGAGACATTAATACCCCCAACTCCCCTTTACGTGTTGTCTTCCCTCAGTAGATGTACACTCCTTGTAGCTAAGGAATCATCTTATTTGCATTTGCATTCCCAACGCATAGTCTGGCACATGTTGAATCATTTCAGTTGTGTCTGACTCTGTGACCCCATTTAGGGTTTTCTTGGCAGAGATACTGGAGTGTTCCTTCCCCAGTTTATTTTACAGATGAGGAAACTGAAGCAAACAGGGTTAAGTGCCTTGCCTGGGGTCACACAGCTAATAAGTGTCTGAGGCCAGATTTGAACTCAGGAACATGAGACCCTGATTCCAGTCCTGGTGCTGTATGCACTGTGGCGCCACCTGTCTGCCATGTAGTAAGTGCTTACATGCTTTAGCTATCTATCCGTCTTTCTAATCTATTTCTAAATGTCTAATCTCTACATTGTTACTTTTAGGATTCTGTCTCACTTTAGGACCAGGTACTGGAGCAGGCATGAAACCAGCTTGAATCAATTTGATTTTTCCCAGTGGCCATCTCTGAGATAGGGATATTGGTATTTGTGAAATGATGCCAAAGGAAGAATTTTAAATCCTTAGAAGAAAATCATTTGACAAAGTATTACAAGTCACATCTACAGATCACCTCCCTAGAGACACAATTAGCTGTCATGTTAGACTTCAAATCAGACCGTGGGCAGCCCATGAGGAATTCTGGTCAGCTCTGTGTTTGAGTGGATATGGTTTGTGAATTGGACATTTAATTGCAGTGGCTCTGAGCTCGGGGATCCAAATCGAAATATAAAATAAACGTTTTTGACAAGGGAGGTGTAGAAAGAGCACAGAATTCACATGGGTTCCAGTTCCAGCTCTGAGACTTTGAAGAGTGTGCAACCTCAGACACTTAACTTATTCTCTCTGGGCCTTAGTTTCCTCATTTGTAAAATGGAAGGGTCAAGCATCTGAGATCCCCTTCTGTTTTATGATTCTGGTTCATTATAACCAGTTGGTCTGATTATGTTTTAAAAAGCTTTCTATCCTAGGGGAGAGTAACCCTAGAGTAATTTGTCCACGAATGAATTTTTAAAAAAATTGTTAAGCATTTACCCTAAGCACAGTCAGGTACTGTGCTAAGTGCTGGGAATACAAATAGCACAGGGTCTCCATGAGCACCTGTTGTAAAGGGGTGTAATCGAAAGGATTATGGACTGTACAGTGTTTTCACTTTAGGTTCGGATCTCAAGATACAGTGACACATACTCAGTATAAACTTAACAAATTATCACATTTATTTTGCAGTGATTGATAATGATTAAGGCAACACAAAGATGAGAATAACATTCAATACAGTAAGTAATAATCAAAATCAAGAAAAGGGGGAATAAGAAAAGAAAGGACACACACTCACTAACCAGGCGAGCTCAAATACCACCTAGACTGGGGAGACTGAAGACGGCCAAGAGGTCTGGTCAGGGAGGCAACGGGGTGGCATCCCGCTCTGACTCAAATCAGAGGCCATGCACATGGTCCACCTCTGATCAACAGAGACTCGGCGTCCCTATCTGACATCAAAGTACTCCAAAAAATCCCTTTCCAAATGACCCTTTTATATCTGTGTAAACCAGGGAAAAACAATCTTAGTATTTTGTGTACGTATCCTTGGTGAGCTCAGGTCCTGGACACACACACACATTTTAACAAAGGTTGAAGCTTGATCAGAGCCCCAAATACCTGTTTGTTGTGTAAGTCTCCAAGGAGTGATCAGTTCCTTGGACAGATAAACTCTTTTCTCACGAAAAATGTTCCTTGAGATGAATTGCTCTCCCAGGTAACATAGTTTGTTGGTTACTTGATGTTCTGTATCCTTGGTACCCTCAGCTACATATGTTAACTCCAATTTACGTTCTTTAGGTCAGGTCATGAGGCAGTTACACCAGGGGGGTGGGGAGGATCTCCTCAGTTTCCCTTACAAGGGGGGAGACCACATATACAGAAGGGCTTAGCTGCAGGGCTGATGGCAAGGTCCAAAAGTCCTGAGGGCGCATTTGTAGGTTAGATGGCAATGTCTTGGGGTCCAAAGTGGGTAGTAACCAGGTAGTACCATGGCCTAGTGATCTTCTCTCTTATAGGAAGGATTGTAGTTGGTGACTCCCTACTCATCCATGCAATGTGAGTGGCCATGTCTATCAGACAAACTTGGGGCAGGGATGATGCGAAAATGGAGGGACCTGGATGGCCTTCATCATTGGACATGGGAGAATGAGCCAGATGATTTGGAGTGAAGTGGGGATTCTAGGTTCTTTTCCATACAGAAAGAGTTGGGGTGGGGTACCGCATCCAACCAGGAGAGAGAACAGGGGAAAGAGCAGTATTAGGAAGGTTGAAAGGGGGTGGCTTGGTGTCACCTTATCAACTTAGATCTAGGAAAAGTTGCATGTA